TTGACCATCATAACTGTCCTTATACCATCAGCCTCTTGAGTCTGCATAAAGGGAAAAAAAACAGCAGAAAAACAAAGTAAAAAGAGTTGGGAGATCATAGCAGTCAGCTAATTGAAGTCTTTGAGTTTAAAATTCAGCCAACGCAAATTACTGCTGCAGCAAGCAGTAAAGAAAGGGAGAAAGACAGCTACCTGTGTATAGTAACTCTCTATTACTTGGTCTTATCCATCTCCACAGGTGATTCCCTCCCTCCTCTGGCTGTGGAAGAGAAAGTAACAGGCTGCATTTGGTGCCTCTGGTAGAAGCCTATTGTCAGATGGAACAATTCATACCCTGAGACTTTAAGTGTGCACCAAACACAAAAAAGGGAGTAATTAGAGAAAGATAGTGAGAAGATGGCTTTGGCAGCTTTGTTTTAGATGACCCTCATCCCCTCAAGAACTTATTGCCACTTCATGAAGGAGGCTTTGTCAGCACTCAAGACACCAGCTGAAAAAGTCCTGAAACACACTCAGAAGACAGGCTAAAACTACTGTTGTGCAAAAGGCAGAGGCAAGACTTGGACACAGTTAAAATAAGCAGGCTCAGCTAGAACACCTAACCATCACCTGCTGCTTAAAGGACAGGAGTCAGTTCCCCACAGTCAAGAAAGGAAAGACTGGGAAAAGCTTGATGTACCATAATAATCCAATTGCCAGACAGTAGTCCTTACCTGGAAGGACACAAAACAGAAGTAGATCTATGAGTCACCACATCAAGGACAGCATTCACAGAGGAGTTTGTGTGGTATGGGAGAGGGAGAACCTGGAAGGAGACAATAATTAAGATCCATCATGAAGGAGTGGAGTGACATGGAATTACTACAGAAGACTTTCAAAGAAAGAACACTAATACTAAAGGGATAAGATTATTAGATCTGTGATGGTGCAACAAGAATGGAGAGAACAAGCATCTAAAAAAAACTTTAAAAACATTTGAGTAATCAAGGGCCATGAGAACGTAGATGAAATGGGAACAATTATATTAATGAGGTGGGGGGAGTTCTCTAGTAACAAAACCTGAATTAAAACTAGCTTGGAGGGTAGAAGCCAAAAAGGAGCAGTTATACGCAGGGTAGAAATGAGTCAAGGCGAGAGAAGAAGAAATATCAGGGAAAAGTTGAAGGCGTGAATCAGTAAGAAAAGAGAAACGTGGCAATGGCACCAAGAAGAGCAAAACATCTACAGACGCATCTGCAGAGGTCGTGTTCCTCAGCTGGGGCGATGTAAGGAGATCCCGTAGTGGCAGAGGAAAGCTGCGGGACGGCAGAGACATCTGCCCGAGCGGCTGGGATGCGGGGAAGGGGCCGGGAGGAACAGCCGAGACTGGGCTCCTCCGGGAGAGCATCCAGGCAGGCAAAGGCAGCAAAGAGCGCGGGAGCGAAGAAGCACTAGAGCTGGCACCGCACTTGGCACGGCTGCGGGAGGAACTCAGGAATTACTCAGGCTGGAGCCGCCAGCTCGGGGGGAGATTCGGCGGCAGAAGGAAGGAGAGGCAGGAGAGCGGTAACGAGAGGCCGACCGGTGCAGTGAGCAGCTCCGCAGAGTCTCACGCCGAGCGGGGAGCACAGACCCTCCGGGCGAGGCGGGGAGCGGCTCCGCACACCCGAGCATGCAAAGGCGCTGGGGGACGGTCCCTGACCCCACACGCTGCCGCCGCTGCCGCCTGACCGCACGTACCAACCTTACCAGCCCTGGAAATAAAAAGAGAAATTTGACAGTTATTAGGCCTGTTGGGATATTGCAGACAGTGGATTGAAGGATTTAGTGAAAAGGTGACTTTTCTTTACGAAAAACTGATCACAGAAGTAGTAAAATGGTCTGTAGAAGATAAAGAAAAATTTAAACATCTAAAAGAAATATTAACCAGAACTCCAGTCCTGAATTTACCAGACTTGAACAAACCATTTCAATTGTTTGTAGACACTAGTAATCATACTGCTTTCTTTTAATAGTTTATATTCCACATGACATTCGAGGAGTGCTCCAACAAAAGGCAGAAAAGTGGTTAACAGACAATAGGCTACTAAAATACGAGGCAATCATGTTATTTTCACCTGAATTAGATTTAAAAACCAGAATGGCTCAGAACCCAGCACAATTTCTATATGGAGACTGGGAAGAAATGAAGGGAGAACACCATAATTGTATTGATATGGTAGAATTACAAACCAAAATAAGACCAGATTTAGAAGAAGAACTAGAGGAAGGGGATAAGTTATTTGTAGATGGATCCTCTCAGGTTATAGAAGGGAAAAGGAAATGAGGGTATGCAATCATAAATGGGAAAATGTGGAAAGTATTAGAATTGGGCCCACTAAGCACAAGTTGGTCTGCCCAGGCTTGTGAGCTATATGCTCTATTACAGGCATTAAGAAGACTAAAAGGTAAGCAAGGGACCATCTTTACCGACTCAAAATATGCTTTTGGAGTGGTACATACCTTTGGAAAAAATATGGGAAGGAGGTTTAATAAATAAACAAGAGGGCTAATACATGAAGAATTAATTGAACAAATACTACAAGCTATCAGGGAACCAAAAGCTATAGCTATAACCTATGTTAAAGGACATCAAAGGGGATTACAGTTTCAAATTAGAGGAAATAATTTGGCCAATGAAGAAGCAAAAGGGGCAGCACTCCTGACGATTTTTACTGTTGATAAATTTACAACAGAAGAAAAGGAGGAATCCGCTGAGAGCCCCAAAATATATCCTGAAACTGAAACCAAGGAATATGAAAGATTAGGGGTGAAATTGAAAAGAAATAAATGGGTACTTCCTGATGGACGCGAAATGTTGCCTAAGGGATTTGCTAGAAAAATAATACATAGATTACACCAACAGACTCATTGGGGTACAAGAGCATTAGTAGACCAGTTCTTAAAATTTTAGGGATTTTTGAAATAGCAAAACAAGAAACTCAAGGGTGTATGACCTGTCAGAGATAAATAAAAAACACATGAGGCAAACCCCCCAAGGAGGAAGACCGTTGGCCCATAGACCTTTTGAAAGGATACGGGTAGATTATACCGAACTACCCAAGGCAGGATGGTATAAATACCTGCTGGTTATAACAGACCAGCTTACCCATTGGGTAGAGGCCATGCCTACCACCAGGGCTAATCAAACCTTGAAACAACATTTGTCAAAATTAATGATTGAAACGAAGATGTCATGGATAAAGTGCTTGCCCTTGGCATTATTAAACATTAGGACTATGCCAAACTTGGTAACTGGGATTTCACCTTTTGAAATGTTGTATAGAATATCCTGTACTCACGAATTGCCCCTTGATCATCCCATAATTGATGATATTACGATTCAACAATATATTACAGTCTTGAATTGCAATCTGCAAGAATTTAGGGTTAAAGGATTAGTAGCACAAAATACCCCTCGAGTTCTTAATATATAAAATGCAACCAGGCGACTGGGTATTAATTAAAAGTTGGAAAGAAGATAGCTTATCCCCTCGATGGGAGGGACCATTTCTTGTTCTTCTAACTACAGAGACTGCGGTACGGACAGCTGAAAAGGGTTGGACTCACGCCACTTGAGTTAAAGGACCAGTGAAGCAGCCTTCAACGAAATGGACTGTGGTATCTAATCCAGGAAGTCTCCAAGTGACTACAAGGAAAGACCAGAAGACGACTGAATGATCCACTCTAGAAGGGAAGTAAGAAATAGTCTATACCAGTGCTCCAGATAGCCCCTGGGGACACTTTACAAAAAGTGTATTTTGCACCTTGGAGGAGAGAAAGGATACCTTACCAAACGGGGGGGCGGGGTTATATAAGTTAACGGGAATTCCACAGGTCCATCCTTTCTGTTGTGAAACAGAAACTGATATACCTGAACTGCCTGCAACAGAAGATCTATTGGAAATTCCATGCATAAAACATCCTACTTCTGGATGCTCATGTTGGGTTACTTGTCAGTGTTCAAATTGTAATAGAAAATGGTCTTGTATTTCATTTAAAAGGCAACGTTACTGTATGCAATGCTGAGATAATATAATAGTAGAGAACAGTTTGCTCAAGTAGAGATTTGTACTTTATTTTGTGGATGGGAGTTGGTGATACCTACAACTTGGGAAGTATATCAAGCAGATTGGCACAAAGTCTTAAGACAGTGTGCCACAAGATTTGCTTGGAAGTGGGCACAACAACAAAATAGGTGGAAATATCAACAAATTTAGATTTTGAAATTGATAGGTAATTATGAACCTAGAATAAAACTCAGAATAGACTGTGTGTCTTCAGGTAATTAGGTTTATGGCTGAAAAGAATAGCTCCTGAAGAATACCACTGCTTTCGAGAAGAATTCATACCTCGTTGCTCCAAGCAAAGGAGTAGACAAAGGAGACGGGTATAACGGTGGAGATAAAATCTGGATAAAATACATCCACTTCTAGTAGCCTACGACTGAACACAATGCACAGAAATATGAGTGGTATTCTAGTGTTGTTATACCTAATCTATATTAAAAGTGTAACAAATGATTGGATACACCAACCTTTCGAATGGATTTTAGCCCGCTTTGAGGATTCAACAGTAATTCAAAAAGTGATTACCTCCGGAGCTCCCATATTCAATGTCACAAATTGTGACTTACTGAGCCCTACTTTGGGGTCTCATTGTAACTTGGAACATCAGTGGAGCTGGGGGGCGACTAACCTAAAGGCCACTTATTGGTGTCCACGTTCAAATCCTGGAAGAAGTTATTGCAACTCACCAGGTTATTTTTATTGTGCCTATTGGGGTTGTGAAACTATAGCTACTGCTTGGGATGTATCAGAGAAGGACAAATATCTAAAAGTCGGGTGGAGTCCTGAACACTGTGAAACTCCAACCTATGACTATTCTGGGGGTGTACTCAACGCTGGAAACTGTAAAAATTTGACTCTGACAATACAGAAACCTGAAGAACCTGGGTGGATTGTAGGAAGAACTTGGGGCGTAATGCTGAGGGAACCTGGAACTGATAGGGGAGGATTAATCCTGATCCAGAAAAGACCTGTCCTACTGACACCTAAACCTGTAGGCCCGAATAAGGTAATATCAAATGAAATTGGCCAGAATAAGACAGTAGCAGATAAAATTGGAAGTAACATCATGAATACCCAGGAAAATATTACTCCTTTGAGACGCACAAGAAATACCCAAGAAAATATTACTGCTTTGAGACGCATAGAATCTAACCCCTTATGGGGATTGGTACAGACTGCATACCAAGCCCTTAACCATACCAATCCTAATGCTACTCTTGGCTGTTGGTTGTGTTATGATGCAAGACCACCTTTATATGAAGGGATAGGACTTAATGTTACATACAGCCTAAGTAATGAAGCTAGCCCAGAACAATGTAAATGGAATAAAAAGAAAATTGGGCTTACTATGCAACAAGTTAGAGGGCAAGGGACATGCATAGGAAAAGTGCCTAGAAACCAAAAGAATTTGTGTGGAAATAAGATACAACCATTAAACAAAGCTGGAAATAAATGGGCTATACCAAGAGAAGGGGGATGGTGGATTTGCTCAAATACAGGACTAACTCCCTGTTTGTCCCTAACTATGTTTAATGAGAACAAAGAATTTTGTATACAAATAACAGTCATGCCTCGGATTTTATATCATCCAAAAGAGACTGTCTTTAAATATTGGAATAATAATAACCTCAGGATAAGGAAAAGAGAACCACTCACTGACCTAACAGTTGCGACCCTCATAGGTCTAGGAACTTCAGGGGCAGCGACTGGAATTACTTCTCTAGTTCAACAACATAAAGGGTTACCATCCTTAAGGGCTGCAGTTGATGAAGATTTAGAAAGAATTGAAAAATCAGTATCATTATTAAAGTCCCTTACTTCCCTTTCGGAGGCTGTTTTGCAGAATAGAAGGGGGTTGGACTTACTGTTTTTACAGCAAGGAGGGCTCTGTGTAGCTCTAGGAGAAGAGTGCTGCTTTTATGCAGACCACTCTGGGGTGGTTCAGGAATCCATGACCAAGCTGCGTGAGGACATTATACAAAGAAAGAAGGAAATGGAAGCTTAACAAAACTGGTTTGAATCATGGTTTAATCAATTAGGGTGGATGACCACCCTAATAACAACCTTAATTGGACCCCTGATAATTTTGTTACTAAGTCTCACTTTTGGACCTTGTATCTTGAACAAATTAATTAACCTTGTTAAGAACAGGATTGAAACTGTCCAACTCATGATATTAAGGCAACAATATACTGACTTAACCCAACAAGAACACTGATTAGAGACTGAACTAGAAGATGCCACCTTTTTAGGGGCTGCTAAAGAAGCTATTTTTAAGCTTAACCAGCAAATTGAGGTATAAAAGAAAAAGGGGGGGACTGTAATAAACCATTGTAACTAGTTTGCTAAGTTAAGCAAGGCGGGTTCGTTATGCCTGAATGATTTGTGAATGTTAAACCATGATACCCTGCTGTCTGAAATATTATAAAAATAGAATATGGTACCCTTTGTGGATCTGAAATGATTTGTGATCACTATAACCTATATTATAACTAGATGGATAAAATACAAAGTGTGCTATTTGCTTGGAACAATGTAACCACTTCTTAGAAACCCCACCTAGAGCTGATATAACTGCTGCTTGAAAAAGCCCACCGAAAGATGGGATCATGAGGCTTTCAAAAGATCCAGTAGGAGAAACGCACGCCAAGAAACCAAGGCTTTGAGACTTTCAAAAGACTCAATAGGAGGAGGACACGTACCCCAGCAACTCGGATGACCCAATGGAAGAAGAGCAGGACAACTATCTGACAAAAGGGGATTGGTTAAGATGGTGGTACAGGAGTATAAAAGACACTGCTTTTTAGAACTTGGTGTGCGTATTGGCGGAGCGGAGGCTCACTACGCACCCAGCGCTGTTTTGCTTATTGCCTTTTTCTACTAATCTATAATAAATCAACATTTTTTTGTGGATCAGAATCTTGGTCGTTTAGAACACTCTCAAAAAAACACCTTCATGGTGAAGGGCAGGTTGGCCCCTGTGCTTATGTAAGTGTGTTAGGGTGAGTTTAAGGTCTAGTGTACTTCTAAGCCTGCATTTAATGCCATTTGGGAGTGAAATATTTTCATTTTGAAAGATGCAGTGCGGTAGGTTGCAAAAAGTTGTCTAAATGTAGACTGTAAAAATCACTGATGGATGGCTGCAGCACATTTATGTTATTTTTATCCTCTTTGTTGTGAAAATAACTTCAAGGTCACTGTAGCAGTATGGGTTAGAGCAGTCGAAATTAATATTGTGAGCAGTCCTGGCTGTTCAAGTTCTATGGCCATTTGTTCTGGCATGCTCTTCTTATTCTTTACTGCTAGTCTGTATACATCTATTGTATTTTCAAATTTCTCAATCTGCTGTTGCACACCTTTGTCTTCCTGTGCATCTTGAGTAAGTGGTACTCTGAAAACTGTTGTGCAGACAGTAGCAGGTTTCCTGAGGACATTAAATGAGTTCTGCTATAGTGTCTTCAGATTGTAAATTTTGTGTAACTACATTTGAAATAGTGGGTTGTGAGAGACTGAAATGTCCTATGACTGTGAAAGCTTACTTGTGTCTGTGCAAACCTCCAAGAGAAGCTGCTGCGGCCTGTGAACTGGTCTGGGGGATGCTGCCCAGAGAAGCGGGAGTGTATTGAAGGATGCAGTCTCCACTTATTGGCGGTTGCATTGTGCGGACTCTAGACACGCCTCAAAGGGGCAGACATGGACTTGAGATAGCCCCATCCTGGAGCGTTTTGTGACTGTTGTGTAGGCCAGACCCCATTCCTGCATTGTTAATGAACTGTTAAGAGGCAAACTTTTCTTCCCTTGAGGCAACAAAACCTGTTGGACCAGAGGAAAAAAAAACTCAAGGCGAGCAGATATGCTGGCTGGTACAATGAACTTAAAGGCAGCAGAAAATCTTGCTCTTGGCACATCTACCATCAAAGCCAGATCTGTGTGCATCCACCACCGAAGCACTGAAGGCTGAGGACCAATGGGACGCCACTGGATCCATGGTGGTGACTTTTCTTGCAGCCCTATCCCACATCCTTGCTTTATTTCTGCCTTTTCCTTCTATTCTGTACTATTGTTGGCCCTCTTCATTTTTTTAATAATAAAAACCTATTTTGGCTATGTGGCATTTGACCTTGTTTGTGTCTTAATCTTGCTCTTGGGATCGTATCAAAGCCTTCCCCAACATTGGATCAGGACATGGGTACGATGATACGGTTTTGTGAAACTATAAGTGTAGTGAAAAGATACAGATCTATAAGGCTAGTAAATAACAATTGAGCAGGTAAAATAACTCAAGGCTGTTACCTAGGAAGGAGTGGTTCCTCTGCTGCGTGTTTCAGTCCCTTTTGTGTAGACCAGGGCAGCTGAAGGGGTAGCTTGGGTTGTCTTGCAGATTCAATTGAAAACAGGTTTTTTGTGGCGCTAGTCCACATTTTGATTGATAACCAGCAAACAAAGGGTTGATGGATTGTTAGAGGAGGAGGCTTTAGGTATCATGTAGCTAGCAAAAGAACAGGGAATATGGTATTGCTAAGTGATTATTTATTTATAACTTAAAACTTTTAAGATGTTGGCTACATATACATGTGCTTGCTTAAAGAAAAACAATATTCTTAGTAGGCAGAGGGTTAAAATATTCAGATCTCACCTCTACAAGTTTCTGAACTATCTCATGCAGTTCTTAAGTTAGCCTTGATTTGAGCAAGAATTGGACCAAAAGAGCTGTAAAAATCCCTTCTGACTTAAATTATGCTATGAATATCTTGAGATAAGTGGCTGCAAAATAACTTTGAAGGTTAATACATTTCCTCATGGTTCAAAGGAAAATCTTGAGTTGAAGTTCTTATAAGTTGACCCTATTAGATGGGAGTGGTGGAAGTCTTGTTACCCGATTGACATAAAATATTCTTTAATTTTTTGAATTGTCATTGATTTTTTTAGGGCAAACTGGAACATGACTGATGCAGATGAATCCAAGGCTTCTGGCTCTGGTAATCTTGATGTAGCATCATCAACTGCTTCAGCTGAGGTTTTATTGGACAGCAGTGATTCAGAAATGTGAGTTTTTATCTCCAGAATTTTTCATGTGAAGAACCTGCTATCATAAAAGTACACATTCTTTTGAAACTAAATATTTTTTCGTCTTCATTGATCTCTTTGCTGCTAGTGGCAGTGAGCACCATCCTAAGTGCTCCAGTGCACCTTCAAAGCGAAAAAGGAGATCTCCATCTTCAAGGCAACAAGCTGAATCTGTTGCAGGAGCACATGACAATGAAAGCTCTTCAGATTCTTCTCTGGCCCCTCAAAGTCCAGTGAAATCATTGGAAGGTTCCGAGAAGAAGTCAAAACTCAATTTGAAAGCCATTTTTGCCTATCACTTCAGGGGAAAGAAGTTTAAGGCTGCTGCACACCGAAAATACAAGGGTGGGTCAGGGAAAAAGAAGAAGAAAAAAAAGTATGAGAGCACAGGGAGGCCTAGAGGGAGGCCACGACTGACAGCCTCACCTCAGGAGCGGAAGAGAAGGCTTAAAGACAGAGGTTTTCAGTTCCCTTTTGTTGAAAAATATTATGGAAAAAAACATCTTCCCTTAAAGAAGGTTCGTGAATATGAGGTGAGTCTTCTGTTTTGTGGGGTAAGAGTTCGTTTTTTTACTTGGTCTAAAAATAGTGAATTTAAATTGGCTGTGTTGTGCTTCTGCTTGATGTGCTACAGTAAAACAGTCAAACAGTTCTGTTAAACGGGACGCTTCATGTCCTCTGTTTAATATTGCTAAGACCAACAGAGCTAAAGTGAGGGTGTAAATATAATACTAAAATTCAGTTCATAATTTAAATGCTTCATAGTGGTATTTTTAAGATCTCACTGGATGTATTTTTTTTTCCTTTAGCGAGCAGCTATAAAGGGATTTTTAAATTACGTTCAACTGCTTAAATATGAAGACCATCTTAAAGAATCTTTAAAAGCCCTTCAGGCTAGTGAAGACTTAGAAAGAGAAGGCCTGATAGCACGGAAACACAAATACTTAGATGATGAAGGCTCCATTTCCCCTATTGAGGAGACAAAGTAAGTTCATCTTTATTTTTTTAGGTGGTATAAAACTTGCTTTTTTGTTCTGAACTAAATAATTTTGTGTGTATACAGGTAGGTGCATCACACCCACATTCCCCCACCCCTCCAAGCTCTTGGTCACCCCTGGCCTGTTTGCTGGCATGGGGAGAGCATCAATGCTGCAAATCCAAAACAGCACTATGCTGCTAATAAAGAAAGCAAACTCCATACCAGCCAGCTGCTACTCCAGTTGAGGAATTCAGGAGGGAGTACAGTTGCTTGTAGTAGCACATGATTATTGTTCCTACCCTGTCCTTTTAACCTAGATCAACATTGTATAATCTAAATGTGAATATCTGCTTATGAAAGCATTGTTTAGTTTGGGAACAAAATGCTCAGACACTTGGGATTCTGTGCTTCTGAATGTGACTTGTAGAATGAGATACTTCTAATCTGAAGACTGATCATTGTTTCAAGTAGTGATTTGTACTGTCTTATTAAAGTGATGTAGAAATGTTTTTTAAAAAAATTAAAATAAATCCTGAAACTAGTACTTGTGATTATCCCACATTAAGAAGGGGGGAGTGTTTTATGACAAAGACTAAAGGCTGGGTTTTTTCATTTCCTTTTTGCTTTATTAAACATTGAAGTATCATCTTGGGTCTTTATGGTCAAACAGTTACATGCAATAAAGGGATCAGTAAATTGGCAAGAAAATGTTTTAAATATACTCAGCGCTTTAAAACTAGAAAGCCTAAAGATAGTGTAAAGGTAGAGGTGCTTTTCAGCTACTGTTCTCTTCAGTAATCACTCACACTGCTAATTTATGTGAGTTGAAGTATTGGGGTGAGTCTGTAAAAGGAGTAACAATTAATTTGATCACTGACAAAAGGGCAGAAGAAACAAAGTTCTGTAGAATAAATGCAAGTTAGGTCACCTAGACACTATTCTTTATATGAAATGAGTAGTAGAAGACATTCTAGGTTTTAGAACCAGTCCTCTGTGCTGCTTACTGAAACCATAGTACTCAGATGGTTTTGTCTCTTTCTAGGGAGTCCTTTCTATCTTGAGAGAAACTTGTGGTTGATAGTGGAATGGAATTTCATACTTGTGTTTCATGGCAGTATGAAGATAATATTTCTCATTTATAATATCAGGATGAAAGCTGTGTACTCATGTTAGCTGAGGCCTGTCCTCTTAATCATTATATTCTGCTTGTTTTCTAACTTGCTTTCTAGCCTGTTTGCTGGTGTAATCCAAAATATCTTGATACTACTATTGATGTCTGCTACTAAATCTTTGTTCTGCTGTGAAGCACTGCTTCTGTCCTGCCAGTGTTGCTAGTTTTACTCTTCAAACTATCATTTGGGAACAAATCTTATGTAGAAGTATATTACACCTATAAGCCATAGCACTTCTATATATATATTAAGAGAAACTAGGGCTTGTGGTAGGAAAACAGTTTATGCATTTTAGGCTACTATAAAAGTACAGAGCTTGATGTGACTTTTTATATTTCAGTGATGATAACAGCTTGAATTCTGAATATCAAGATGTCAGAGTAGTGGTGAGTAAATACCCTTAACTTCAGAAGCTCTCTAACCTTCTTTCTGTTCTGAGATTAAAGAATTAGTATATCATGTTTGGAATACTTAATTCTTGATCTTAGATTCAGAGTTAATTGTGTGATACCTCTGAATCCTGATCTGTAATGCAGAAGGAAGCTGTTTTGAGAGTCCACACTCCCTCTTTGAAATAATGCTGTAATGTATAGGAATTCTGGAGTTCTCTGAAGAGTTCTTAACTTCTGCAAAGTTACTACCAAAATCTTAACCTTTGAATACTTTTCTATCTTCCATTTTCTTAGGAGAACAGCTCTTTCATTATAAGCAGCAAAATTCCCAAGAAGAAAAAATCAAAGCCAGAAACAAAACGTGCAAAATCAACTGAAGTGATTGAAACGGAGAACAGCTCTTCCATTATAAGCAGCAAAATTCCCAAGAAGAAAAAATCTAAGCCAGAAATGAAACATGCAACATCAACTGAAGTGATTGAAATGGAGAACAGCTCTTCCATTATAAGCAGCAAAATTCCCAAGAAGAAAAAATCTAAGCCAGAAACAAAATGTGCAAAATCAACTGAAGTGATTGAAACGGAGAACAGCTCTTCCATTATAAGCAGCAAAGTTCCTGAAAAGAAAAAATCTAAGCCAGAAACAAAATGTGCAAAATCAACTGAAGCTAAGCCAGAAACAAAACGTGCAAAATCAACTGAAGTGATTGAAACAGAGAACAGCTCTTCCATTACAAGCAGCAAAATTCCTGAGAAGAAAAAATCTAAGCCAGAAACAAAACGTGCAAAATCAACTGAAGTGATTGAAATGGAGAACAGCTCTTCCATTATAAGCAGCAAAATTCCCAAGAAGAAGAAATCTAAGCCAGAAATGAAACATGCAACATCAACTGAAGTGATGGAAACGGAGAACCGCTCTTCCATTATAAGCAACAAAATTACAGAGAAGAAAAAATCTAAGCCAGAAATGAAACGTGTAAAATCAGTGGAAGTGATGGAAACGGAGGAGAACAGCTCATTCATTCCCAGGAAGAAAAAATCAAAGCTAGAAACAAAATGTGCAAAATTGGCTTAAGCGATTGAAATGGAGAACAGCTCTTCCATTATAAGCAGCAAAATTCCCAGGAAGAAGTCAAAGCCAGAAGTGAAACATGCAAAATCAACTGAAGTTATTGAAATAGAGGAGGAGGAAGACTGCTGCTGAGAACTCTGGGCTTCTGCAAGGTTCACCTTGGTGAACAAAAAACTTAGAAATGAGGTGGCACTGGTCACTCATCAGACACCTTTGTCACCTACTTGGTTTAAACCGTTGGTCTGAAGTCAGTGTTGAGCTATCAACTGACCAACCTAGTCAGATTGTGTTTAAGGTGAGCATCTTGGGGTGGTGTCTGAGACCATTACAGAACAAGTATTGTGTGTCTTTTTGCTAGGCTTTTAAGTCTTCTGTGCTGTCCTGCATCAAGTGTATAATATCCTTGATTCAGTGGCAGATAATCTTGCTGAAATGCTAGCTTCTGCAACTTGCCTTCTGCTAACCAATGATCATAGAATGTATGTAATTAAAACGAGGAAAACAAGTTCTAGGTACTGCAACATAGCAGCAGCACAGTGAAATGCATGCATCTGCATACATACATACATATGTTCCAAGTTACGGAGGGCAGTTAGGGTGCCTTTCTTTCATAGCTGACTTTTTTGTGAGTGATACTTCAGAGATTATTTTCCTGTGTCTTAAGGAAATGTAGGTTATGTTTTGAAGTACTTTGAGAGCTAAGTGAGGGTTGAAGACAGAATCGAGGCTTTAATGCGCATCAAGTGCCAACAGTAAAAATGCAGAAGTAGTTAGTCAATTTAGACAAAGTTCTGTTGCAAAATATGGTTAATGCATTTGAAAGATGATAAAATCAGTTTGTTTGATGTTGTGTATTCCATGTGGAATAACTTTTCAGAGAACTAATTCTCTGCTCTTGAATGTAATGCAATAATCTGAAGTTAAATTGTCTTTAAAATAACTGTAGCAACATAGTGAATCTTGGATTAAAAGATACTTTTTCCCCTCTTGCCCTCCTCTGTCCAAAATGGGTTCTGAGGTGAACGTGAATGACTAAGCAGATAAAAGCTCTTTATAATAACAGTACTTATCAAGCATTGCCCCAATTGCAAATACCTTTCTCAAAAAGTGTTTTAGACAGTTGGAAACATGACTAGTGAATGGTTAGAAATGGTCTGAATATGGCTAACTCCTAGATGACAAGGCTGTCTTGGTAGCAGTAGAAATAAAAAAAAAAATTAAAACGTTTACTTGTGACTCAACAAGATTTAGAAACCAGAGGGTGGTCTGCCTCACTCACATACTCTAATAACCAAATCGCTGTCAGCAACAAACAAGCTGTTCAGCAGGTAAAAGTAGTCTGTGCCAAACGGAGATGTTGTCAGAAAAATACTTACTATCTACTGGCTTAATTTTTTTTCAAAATGTAGTTGACAGTATGAGATTTATAGTAGGTCCTCAGTATGAGAGCAGGTCAAGTTGCATTCCCTATATCCTTGAATTAATGTCCCCAATCTTTGTAAAGGAGGTTTGGGGTTTTTCAGTTGCAACTTGGTAGCTCTGAGGACTAAAACTGCAAAAATTACTCTCTTCAGTAGTTGAAGATTACATTTAATATTGGTCCAAAATTAATGGCTAAATGTAACTCTTTCAGGCATCTACCTGAGAAATTCTGTATGGCTTGAAAGACTCATCCTGGATCTAGGAGTGGGGTTCTTGCTTGGTAAGGCGTAGCGAGGTGGTATGTGGAGTCCTGCTCATTCTGCAGTTCGTGTGATGAATTTTTCTGTTCAACTGCTGAGTGACTCAGAAATGAACTAAATTTCAATTCTGATTAGAACTGGATAAACACACATGAAAATCAAGCTTATTACAATTGCTAAATTGATTGTGGAAACCTAGCTTTTGGCTTCAGGAATCTTCAGTTATTTGACCATATCTGATAGTTCTTATCACTTTTATTGCTTTTTTTCCTTGTAGTTTATGTTGCTTTTGGAAGATGAAACACTGCTTAGTTCTCTTGATGTGCAAGGTAAGCTGTTAGTTTGCAATTCCTATTTTATTAAGGTAGCTTTTTTGCTTTGCTTCACCTAACATTTTGGAGAAACAGTATTCCGTAGTTCACTGTGAATACATGAGTGTTTCATAGCTGTGCAACTTCAGTGTGAAGCTTCCAAAGTATTGAGTTAACTGCACCATCTCGTATCAGTCTGACCAAACTTGGAGCCTTTAGCCTCTGCCTGAATGAAGACTAAAACTTCCAAGTTCTTGAATACTTGTTAATAGGTTTTGTTGGAAGCTACTTTGTTTTACTTGGTGTTGAATGCTGCAGGGCAGCCTAATCTTACCTGATTGGATTGGTTTGGACACTACCTGGGACCATCTCAGCTGGAGATGCCAGAGAACTACTGTACACTTAAGTCTCCTGGTTGGTGCCCCACCCACGCTTTCTGTACCAGGGTGTATTGTACAACTGCAGCTTCTGATCACTTCCCTGTGGTAAAATTTCATCTTGATGCATGTCCCATGCAAAAACAGAGGGGACAGCAGAAAGAAGCCGCTGGTTTTGCACATAGCTCATTGCTAAAGCACCATACTGCAGTGTGTAACTGTACTGCAGGGTGTGACCTTACAAGTTCATGTGGCTTCAGGAGAGCCGAGGAAATAGCATGGAAGAAAACGCTGTGTAAAATGGGATAGGAAAACATCTTTAATGTGGGGAGCAATGAGCTAAATCTGGGCAAGTAATGAAACTTCACAGGAACATATTTGATAGGATTAGGGCATCGTTGCTGCAGTAAGGGTGCTGGACTAGAAAACATGAGTTCGATACAGCATAAATTGTTCTTATGTCAGCATATCTGATACTGAACCTCCTTGCTACAGTTATTAATTCTGAGTTTATAGCAGACTGACAGATAACTTGATTTTTATGTACTGCTAAATGCTGTTTGAAAAATAGTGAAAAATAAGACAAAAGTTGATGCAGTCAGTCTGTTCCAGCACGTGTTCAGTTTTTGTCTGTTACTGTAGACAAAAACCTGGAACCTAGTGCTTAGAAAAAACCCTTCTTTTGCAACCCACAGCTGATGAATATATTAGTTGTGTTACTTATATAAAGGGACAATATTTGCATGTATTCAAACAGCAGTTTGAACGCTGATGAATCTAGGGCATGAGTTTCATGTTTCCAATTTGCAGAAGTGTAGTTCAGTTATATTGATTTCTTTGCAGACTCTGCAGATGAACACACCACCTCTGCAGCAGTGAGCAGTTGTAACTTTTATGGTGTGATTGAATTCTTGCAGCTGTTTGCCCTTGTGATGTGCAAGATCTCTTACTTCGGTGGACTTCTGTGGAACATGTGAGTGAAAGCTGTAAGCTTTGTGTTTCTTCTGAGCTTCAGCATAAGACTAGTAGATTTCCTCAGACAAGTACTATTTCCACAGCAAATAATCAGACTAATTAGTGCACTGTATGGTATCTGCACCCAGCAGTGTCTTCCTGATGGGGAGTTCAAAAAGCAGTGCTACAGTATTTCAGCAGCTGGCATCGTTGGTTTTCGTGCAGATGTGCTGGTTAAACTTGGTATTCCTGTTGAAACAATTAGATTGAAAGTTTCTCATTGGGAAACTTGTCAAATACAACATTAAAGAACTGTTGAACTGTTATCAGATAAAAGTAGAGTTAAATCGATGACCTTATTCCAAAATATTTCTTCTTGAAGGCGCATTCCTCTGATGTCTGGAACACACTGGAAAGCCTCTACTTCAGAGTAAGTATTGAGGAAATAGTTTGTTTTTCCCTAGGTAAAGGTAGTTGGGTGAGGATATAAAAGTTCAAGTCTCTAGCTTTTTGGTTGCCTTTTTACATGGAAGCAATGTTTTATTTTGAAACACAGATCCAAGTACCAGATGGCAGCTAGTGACATGCTTCTTTTAAAGTTAACTGACTAGGCTTCCAACCAGAAACTATTCTGCAGACATGGTGAAGAGTTGTTATGCCTCGTTATTCAGCAAATAGACACAACTCACTTGTGTCTGAAATGAAAAACGTGGCTAGAAGAGTAACAGGTTGTGCTTTCCTCACTGTAAAGTTAATTGCAGTGGTGACAATGAGACCTGTAACAGGTTTACTTAGTGGGACAATTATACAACCATATTTCAAAATGCACCTACTGTAAAATCCCAAGGATTAGATTGGTTTGATGTTTTTGAATTCTGCATCCTGCCTGCTAATGGAAGTAGAATCAGCAGGTAGAGGAAGAATACATGTAGTGCTGCATTCTTGTAGATAATTTATTAGAGCGTATTTGTAAGCTGTCTTAAAATGGTGTCTCTTACATGTTTTCTTTACATCACCCTATCAGCTGACTTTTAGGTAACTCCCTTAGTTGTACCTTCTCTGCCATAGTCCTCTGATTGCTTAAATTGCAGGTAGATGTTGATAGTTGTGTGATAGACTGGGCTATCGCCCTGATTTGAAAAGCAATGCTTTGTTTTGGCATTAACATTCAGGCAGCATAACTGGAGTATTAGTCTGCCTGCTTCATAGTGAGTATTAGAGTTCCTAAATCCTAGTAAATTACTGAAGCAACTTGGAACTACTACTCAGATGCAACAATTTATTACTTTTCAGGAAATCCACATGAAGGTCAACTCTGAACTAGTATCTTGGTAAGTTACTGTAATTGTTTTAACCCTTGCCTGTTGTAGGTTAGCTGTCTTTCACTTAGTAAGCTGGCTATATTACTGTTTTTTCTTACTGAGAAGATGCAGTGTTGCTTTAGAAGACTGAAGGGCCTACCTTCCCCCAAACTTGAGAATGCTGTGAGAAACTTGTTGTGATGATTGGCAAAATGTTCAACTGCTCTGAAGAGAGTGAGTGAGACTAGCCTTTCTGAACAAATCTTACATGAGTGTCCTTTTCATGTCACTTCATTCTGAGCATCTGAGTATTGAAGACAGTGTTTTGTGTCGGAGAGCAAAGATCATGACTCTGTGACTTTCTCTTCAAATCAAATAGGATAATATTCAAACATTATGGTAGCTTTAAGTGCAATTCTAAACAGAGGCTGTCAGGAATGCCTGTAGGTGTTAGAACCACTGAAGTACCAAGTACTGCTCTAGGTTCTGCTGGTTTGTATGCACACACGTACAGTTTGTAACCTTATCTTGCCTTTTCAGGTGGCATGGAACTAGAGAAAATGAGAGAAGAAATGCAGGATGCCTTTTCACAGAAATCTGAAGCCTCTTAGGGTTAGTATGACATCTAAGCTCCACATATTCTTTAATGATTGAAGGGCTATGGTTTTCAGTGGTTGGAAGTCTATATCAAGTCAAACTTACTGACTTGTAGAGGGTTTCAGAGACTTATTTCAGCACCATGTTACTGTATTTAATGTAGCATTCACTCTGTTAAGAATTTATTTTAACTTTGATTTGTCCAAAGAGCACTCATACAAATTTCTCAGTCAAACAGGAGGTGATCAGCTTAACTGCTTAAACTGATAGTTTTGCTTCTGCAAATAAGTTAACACTTACCAGTAAATTAAAGGGAGGATTCTGTTAGAGCATAATTCAGTAGTTCATTTCCTTTGTTGTCTTCCTTTCAGGAGTTACTTCATCTTCCCCAAATGTTAGTGTGTCATTTACCTTCCTTACCCCAAATGTCTTGAAACAAGTAAAAAGACACTTGGTAGGATCTGTACGAGAGACATTTCCAGTCTGCTTCATTTTTATCTAGAGTGTTAATTTATAGCACTGAAAATGTTGAGGTCTATCCCGACAGGATCTCTTCTGTAGGTTTGTGTCGTTGGAAATGCCTCATAGAATAAATTTGTGGTTTCGCTTTACCCATTGAACTACCTGTTAGCTCTGTGGGATAAAACTGCAAGACAAATCTCTGCAGATGCAGCATCCTAGGAACTGTAATAATGCGTTATGTTCTCCTTTAGGTACTGACTTATGCTGTTGATACAAATGAAAAAATTTATTCAAAAGGAAAAGCTTGGTAAGAGTCAAAATATAGTGTGTTCTGGGACTTACAAGTATAACTAACATGTTGAATTACATGGGCTGGACTTACTCTTAAGCCAGGTTTTTGTGTAGGTACCTGATTTCTAACACTTTCTTGCGGTTTGAGTTTCCTAGATGGCGTGAAACAGTTTATTCCCCCTTTGATCACAAAGGGAGTGATTCTTATTTCTTGTCTCGGTGGCTGTGGCTCTAGGTAGGAAGAGACAGCACTGTAGTCTCCGAACTTGAAGTAACTCAATAAACATGCTGCATTTCTGTTGTGTGTCAAGAGATGCTTGGTAGTTTTATACTGAGCAGCAATATTTGGGTTATCTTTAAGTTTGGGTTTCAGAGTTCATTTCTAAGCAGCTTAGCCAGTTTACTACTAGTTAAAATTCCTGGCTTCTGTTCTATTAAATGCAGGGTTTAAAGTAAAACAAGCAAAATATTCTGGAAGAAGTATAACTCCTTCACAGTAGGATTATATAAAAACTTAAAAGAATTCTGGAGCTGCTCTTCCTGTTAGGTGAAATTTCTGGAGTCTGTTTTCCCTTTTAGCTGCGTGGCTGCTTTTGGGAGATGAAGATTACTTCTGTGTAGTTTATCGCTAGACACCAGCATACAAAAAGTTTGAATGTTAAAATGAGCCGTTGCAGATGAACTACATCTCTTGCACTGTGTGGTATCTGCACCCAGCAGCATTCTTCTGATGGGATGTTCAAAAAACAGTGCTACACGAGTTCAGCATTTGGCATCGTTGGTTTTCATTCTGTTGTGTCTGTTAAACCTGGTATTTTTGCTGATACAATCTTTGTCCTCTTCAAGGATTGAGTGTGCTTGCTTTCTATTTTCATGTTTCAGTGTGAGAACTAGATACTGGCCTCTGGAACTCAGCAAGTCCATTCAGTTTGTTTCCTTTTTTAAACAGGTGCTTTAGCAAAATCCACAGTTTAGTTACGCTAGGATGAGCGGTGGAACATAAGAGCCTGACAGGGAAGTGCTGAGTTACTTGTCAGTTCAGAAGGTTTCATGCACTTCATAGAAGTTTGTGTGTTAACATGGGGTGGTGAGGAGGACTGTAAACATGCTCAAGTGACTTGCAGCTGGAGTGTTGAAAAACACATCATAGAAATTGTTTTGGTTTTGTGTACTTCACTGGTAGAACATCAGTGTTTAGATAACATAGGCCTGTGATAAGGTCCCTAAGTCTATTGAACATGTTTGGGATACCTGCCCTGCTGTGGGGAAGATAAGAGCACAGTGGAAGACTATGCCTGTGAAAATCTCTGATACACAGGTGAAAGCAGCAGGTTCAAGATCTTCTCTTTTTGGCTAGCAAGGACTGAGCTCCGGTGCCTGTGTCCCTGCCTGTGTGCCTCTGCCCGGCTGCTGCTGTGGAGAACCCTGGGTCATGAGGTAACAAGAATAAATTTTGCCATTTCATCCATGGTTGTGTGGTAGTTCCTGTGTCCTGCCTGTCAGCTCACACACTTGGTATGACTCTGAAACATTGAAACTTCAGGGAACTGTTCTAAAAAAGTCTAGAAGTTAATCTGGTAGCAGAGACTGTTGGGCAGTGATCACCCCAGATTTTGGCAGTATCTGAACCAGGGTGCTGATCAGTCATTCTAGCGTGTGTATCTACTTCAAGTGGATGTCACAGTTGTGCAGCAAACTGTAGTACCGGTTTCTGAATTAGGCTGCTGTTGATTGTGAGGAATTCCTCTTGTACTTGGATCTTAGGCTTGTTGGCACATGCAACTTGGCTTACATATTGACAGGATTGATTGGTCCTTAACAAGAAAGGATAGGAAACTTGATTTAAGTCCCAGCGTTAAGGTGGTGGTAACAGCAGTGAGAGGAGAGCACCTGGTCATTACCAAGGCTGCTAGGATTTTGCTGTTTCTAGCGAGTTGTGGACATGACCAGAAAGCAAGGCCATCAGACTCTTGAATTGCCACATGATGTGGCACCAAGTCTGCTGGGAATAAAGCTTTAATGTAGGTCAGAGAGACAAGTGCTTCCCTTCTGCTCTTAGGGTGAGAGCAAGTTCTTGCGCAGAGGAGTGGGCATGGGGCTGTATGCTCAGGCAGCTCCAGCATTTCTGCAGAGGAACTGAAGTTCTGGTTAGAATCTTTGTAACTGGGTCTCTAGAAGCTGCTTATGAGGGCTGTGGTTGTGCACATAACAAACAAAAAGGGAGACAAAAGGCTGCTCCATGCAACTTACATCCATCTTCTTTGTTGCTAACTCTTCACTTGCACTAACCAAATCTGATTTTAACCCATGGTGTCCTCTACCAGGCCACTGCATGCCACCAGAAATGCCACCAGGCCACTGCATGCCACCAAAGCAAGCCTGAAGGTAAGAGTGCTCAGCAAAATTGCTGGTACTAAAAATTTAATTCAGGGTCACTTCAAAGAGAGTTTGCATGGCTGAAAAACCAGCAGCTCTTAACGCGGTGACCACATATTGAAATCCTCTGCAGGATGCCGTGGACACTTGGGTGTGTGCTATGGTCTATTTATGAGGAGATAACACCTTATGGAGTCATGCCTCTTGGAGTGATGTTTGTCAGTTGCTGTTGGGTTTCTTGAGATGCTGATGTAGGGAAGAGGCTGTTCAGTTTATTTGGAAACCAGCTGACTTCAGCATCTGAAGCTGCAGAACAGGTTGATACAGTTGTGGCATGAGCAGTCTTGTAACTTAACTGCTGCTTGTGTGTCCAGAGAAGGGCAGCAAAGCTGGTGCAGGGTCTGGAGCAGGGGAGACCTCATCATCCTCTACAACAACCTGAAAGGAGGTTGTAGCCAGGTGGGTGTCAGTCTCTTTTCCCAAGTAACAGGTGATAGGACAAGAGGAAACGGCCACAAGTTGTCAGGGTAGGTTTAGATTGGAGACTATGAAATGTTTTTTCACTGAAAGAGTTGTCAAGCATTGGGACAGGCTGCCCAGGGAAGTGGTTGAGTCACCATCCTTGGAGGTATTTAAGAGATGTAGATGTGGTGCTTGGGGACATGGTTTAGTGGTAGAATTGGCAGGTTAGTGGTTGGTATCATTCTGAAAGGTCTTTTCCAACCAAAATGAATCCATGCTTCCTTTTCCCTCAGCACTGATACATTCTTAAGAGTTGCATGGAAGTCTTAGAGTAGATAATCCTGGAACAACTAGGTAAGGGAGAAGTGCAGAGTGGGAATTATGACACTTTGGGAGCTGGCACTGGAAAATCATGCTTTTGCCCCTCAACATTTTAGTAAGGGGGGTAAGCATGTGCTCTGTACTACTGCATTTATACCAGCACCATGTCCTCAAATTAAATTGCTTCAAAGGAAGCCATGTTATGCTAAGGATGAGGAATGGCTTTGCTTTTCTAGAAGAACACTTCTCTAGAGTAAAAGTGCTAATAGATGCTTTTTCTTTCAGGTCCTGATGATGCTGCAAGTCTGCTGCAAAGACCAGGGCACAGCTTTTCTAACTAGAGACAGAACCCTCTCTAGAGAGTTTGTTGCAGTAATTCAGAATTAAACATTCAATTTCCCCTTACTGCTTTGTAAATTGAAATAGTTAGTGCCTGCTATTTGGAAACCAGTTCAGAAGCACAGGGACCCTTTCAGCTGTGATGTGCCTGTTTTGCCCTCCTGGGAGAGCAGCAAAGCTGCAGAAGACCTAACTCTGTGGAGTGGATCAGCTTGTAATTTGACTGGAAAAAGCTTTACCAACTGTTTTCCCTTACTTCTCTGTTACTCAACTCTACTGAAGCTCCACAGAGGTTTTTATTTAAATAAAACCAATGTCTGAAAGCTGTACCTGGGATTATTTTCTGTTGCTATACTGTGAGCAAACAAGGAAGGTAAGTCATGGCTTACTGGTAGCAAAGTGTGGGCTTGCCCTCTTCCCTTCTGACCATAAGAGTATTCAGAAGTCCAAGCCAGAGCAGCCCTTGTGAGCCCTGAGGGTAAAGGGGGGAGAACTGCCCCTACTGTACACCTCATCTTTCATTGCAACAAGCCTCCCCCTCACTTAACTCCATAGACCAACAAGCTCATTTTGGCTTTAAAACATTGCTTTAGCTACTGCACTATGGACTGAAAAAAAAATAAATCCATGAAAACAAGACTTAAGTTATAGTTAATAACTCATCAGAAATAGGCTAAGACTCTGCTTCATTTCAAATGAACAGGCTTAAGGAAATGTCCCTGCTCTCTTCCATGTGCTTATAAAAATTTATTCAACTTTTGCTATAAAGTTGGACTTTGTCCCAATGCTATAATTACTTAGCTCTGAAGTGCAGTTTAGGAAACTTGGATACAAGAACTACATTGAGAAGTAGTAACCATATGAGGGTTTTATTCTCTTCCTACCTTCAGGTGCTTTAAGGATATATACATTTTGAGTGCAGGAACCCACACTTCCTCATCTTAAATCACATAGTGCAAACAACAGATAAAAATTTCAACTTTACAGAAGAAAGCAGTGTCTTGCATCCTGAGGATTCAAGCCTTAAAAAAAAATTTATTTCAAAGTGGTTTATACATTTATATTACAAGAGTTGGTATTATCTTCCTTGAACACTGAAAAGTCTACTCAGTCAAACCCTGTTTAAAACTGCAGTTGATCTGCTGCTGCAGTGATTTTGGATACAATATTGAGGGTACTCCAGTACTCCACCAATTTTATACACTTAGTTTTCTGTCAGCTTAAAGCTGAGGATTCCTAAAGGCTCCACAACTGACTTAGTGAAGTCTGTGGTGTTCAGTGGTCTCTTCAATGGTACTAATACAGTAGTGTTCCTTGCTGCTTAAAGTCTTGTGCTAGTCACTGCTTCTCAAGTCTTCTTGGCTCGTAGTTTCTCCAGCATTTTCTGCAAATAAACCATGAGACTACAGTAGTGTAGCTTAAGTGACCACTAAAAATGAGCATAGTTAGGTGGGCATAACTGAGGTACTACTTGCATATAACCTGAGCATCAGTAACAGACAGTGCAAGTCTGGATCATGGGGCAGACTTGCTACTGCTTTAAGGAAGCATGCAGATTTCAGGGAAGAGGTGTGCTTATTTATATTTTAATTATGGAATTTGTATGACAATATAAGAGCAGCAGCAATTTGCTCCACCACAAAGTAGTTGAGGTGGTCAGTGCCAGAGGCAGGATTTGGGCCTGCAGTCCCAGCCTGTCAGGGTTATCAAGCATTTCCTTCCTTCAGTCATCTGAGGTGCAGGAGGGGAGAGGCAGTATGTATTAGTTCTCTTGTGCAACCCCCTATTCTAGAGCAATTGCAGGCAAACCCAGGCAGGATTCTTGCAACCTGAAGTTCAGGTGTGCTCAACCAGGCAGAATCTTAAGCTCCCTGGAGTAGCCAAAAAACCCCCTTAAATCTGCCTTATAATGCAGATTTGGTCAAGTTTGGACAAATAAAACCCCTGCCTTTCTTTTTGCCAAGTAGATTTTCTAGCAGCTGGGGTCAACCTTGAGTCACCAGAAAAATTCAGCCTGAGGCAGACACTTTTTGAAGAATATTGCAGCTCAGTCATACTGTTGACAAGGAAATTCTTAAGTGGGATATACCAATAGCATCACTGAAAATCCAGGCTCATTTGATGGTCTCAGTTTCAGCTGCACTCACACCACAGAACTGTCTGTCTCAGTCTGATTAGAAGCTCAGTGAAATCAGAACTAACCAGGCAGAAGAACACTGTAGCAGACTTACCTTTTGAAAATCTTTAGCCTTTTCTCTGTTTTTAGCATAAACTTCTTGCCTTGTTTTTTCTTCCTTTGCAATTTTTACTTCTGCAAGTTGATTATAAAGTCTGTCAAAACAGTAGGAAAAAAATTGTGTCTTGAAGAAAACTGGCCAAGCTGGAATAACTTAACAAGTTTAAAGGTTTATACTGTCTCAATTGCTAGGAATTAAGAAAGGAAATTTTTACTTGGCTCTCCAGTAATCTAGAATCACTACAAATTCTTCAGCTGCATGTAACAAACACCCCAGCCAGGAGCTGTACTGGCTGCATGTTACCAAGTGCCCACATCCAACTGTGAACTTTTTAATCCAAACTTGTCCCAGTTGTGTTCATACAATACCTTGAAGTACGCTGCTGCATTTCAGTTTCTCCAGACTTCTTGTCCTCTGGAGAAGACACTTTAACTTCTCCTACTTTCTTCAACTGATGGACAACTGTACCTTTTTCTCCTAAAAAGAAAGCCAAACATATCTTAAACTTGAATCTCTAGTCCAGCTAACTCAAAAGCATGAGAGATTTTCAAAGATTTTTAAGTGACATTACAAAAAAGAAATAAGCTAGCCAGAATGGACACAATGGAGATGTCTTGTATTAAAAATAAATCTTCAGTCTCACTCATTAGGCTGCAGCCTGTACTTTAAGCCAGCCATGCTTCTCAACAGCCAGCTTCCAACTCCCCCATTAACAGACCTTAGAGATGCATCAACTTCACTTAATAGGGTTGTTCTTTGATAAACAACTATTATTTCAGGACACTTTATGACTACAAAGGTGTGGGCAGATTGTAAAAATATGAAGAGGACCTGCAAGGGCATTTAAAACACTGAAGAGGCAGCCAGACAGCAGAAACAAAAGCTCCTCACATCCCTAAGAAAACAGAATATCCTAGCCCACAATAGCAAAGATGCAACAAATATGAAATCTATTCTTCGATACAAAACAGCAACTGAAAGGATACCAAATATTATGTCTTGTCTCCAGATAAACCTACCAGACTCTTTTTGCCTCTTTAACTTCTCAGACTTTCCTCTTTGAAACTGTCTTGCTTCTGGCTTTTCATTTTCTCTCTCCCTCTTTTTCATTTCTTCTATTCTCTTCAGAGATTTCTGGATGAAGTTGTTCTTCCTTTTTAAAAAAGATTCTTGCAAACTTCCGGGTGCAGGTGCAAACTCCAGCAGCATCACTGTGAAAGAAAATTCTAAGCCTGAACATTTCTCACTTTTAGCAATGAGCAGTATCACCTTTAGTAAGTCATACATTTCAACATATTTTTCCTGAAATGCTGAAGCTCAACGACTTTCGTAAATCAGATGACATTGTGAACGCTGAGTAATCTTGTAAAACAAGCAGCAATTCAGATCTATGGGATCTAATAACTAGCAGGTCTGTCAAGACAAATACTGTGATAAATACTGCATCAAAAGCATCTTGATGCCTCAAAACGTATCAAAGGACTGAGAAGTCCTTAACACAGTTAAGTTCTGTCAATTCTTGTCTTTCATGTTACTGCTGTTCATCTCGGACAAAAAATATTTCAGTATTTACCAATATTCCGCACTATCATCAGAACAGAAAAAAAAGACATTTTTGGTGACAGAGCTTGGGGACTAACAGGAAATAAAAAATAAGTGAGGGTGCATAAATTACATGACAAACAAACCACAGAACACCAGAAATTTTTTTCAAAATTAAGTAGTAACAGCACAAAAAAAATCCAGTGTCCTGCAGGTATTGTGAACTTTCATGAGAGATAGCTTGGCATAAGAAGAGAACAGTCAATCATTCCTTGTCAATAAGACATGTCTTAAACCTGGGTCCTACAAACCAAGCCTGAACAGCAAGATGCATCTGGCCAAGTAAGAGAAGCTGTATGTTTTCCAAAGAAGTATATTTTATTAATGATTTTAAAATTATAAATGAAGACTTTCTCTATCTCACCTTCACTATATTCAAGTTACACACACCTACCTGCAGTCCGATGTGATGGCAAGTGACTGTCATTGGGACTCTGGGCTGTGGAAGAACCGTCAGGCTTTAGGAACGCTGAATTATCTGCATCTGGAGCTAGTGGTAAAAATTCTTTCCCCTGTTTCAAAAGGAACCAGTGATTGGAAATACTTAAAATATACCATAAATTTGAGTGAAATGGTAGTGCTGTACCACTAGCATTAGACCCAATGCAAATAAGACATAGTCTTAATAGCAGATGCAAGAAAAACATCAGAAAAGAATCTCAGTAGTAAGTATTAAAAAGCTACTTTCTACAAATAAGTAATTTTGAAACTTTAAAACAATCCATTAAAGACTCCTTGCCCACCAGATTTCAACTGCTGCTTCTTAATACAGAGCTGCATAATTTCATCTCAACAGAGGTGATTTTCTTTCTTCCTGTTTGCTTTAGTTCTCCCCCATCATTCTCTTACTGCTGTGTCTCCTCCCGCCACCCCCAGCAGGAAGGTGACACTCACTGCAGCAGTACAGCTTCCAGCTGCCAATCTCAACCTTACCCACATTTCAATTACTTTATAAAAACCCATTCTTAAGCACTTTTAGGATCTTCTCTAGATGCCTTCTACAATTGAAACATGGTTTCATCTAATCTATTCATCTATCAGACACACATTACTTTTGTAATGTTGTACATTGATCCAGCACCCAAACTCTTCTCTCATTACAAACCAGTCCCTCTATAATTTATGGCCTTTACTTTATACAAGCAAACAGCAAAAAGCATCCCACAGGCAAATTAAGCATCACAGTATGATGAGCTGCTCATATTTTCCCCATAAACCTCAAACCGCTGCGTGGTCCTGTTGTAGCTCCATCCGCTAGGTAGGGATTTTTCCTTTCTTAGCTGTTTGTAGCTTTTGTTTTGTTCCACCCTCTCCTCAAGTCTTCTACTAATGGGACACAATTTAGTCTTGCAAACACTAGTAAGATGGTTCTGTTTCTCAGCAAAAGTCTTCCCAAACTCTATCTACACTGACATAAGGTAGTGATTTTAAGGAACAGCCCAAATTTAAGATCTATTAGATCTGTTTGGAAAGCATAACATCAAGCCAATATGATCTAAGCAATTACTAAGCTTGGATACCCTAACATTTTCTCATTTTGCAACAGTGGATTAATGATGCTACAGTGGGAACTCTCCGTAAGACAAAGTTAAAATTGGAATTACATTAGATAAAGACTCACCTCAGTAAAAGCATTAAATTCAGACTGATCCACACATGCTGGGCGATTGATTTTATCCTCCTTAATTTTCTCTTGGTTAGTATGTTCAATGTCTGATTCTGCAATGCTGATGTCATTTGAGCTTATCAAAGTGAGTTCAGGTTCTTCCATAATACCACGCCCTGACTCAGTCTCCTAGAAAATAAATTATACAAGACATCAGTATAAAAAATAAATCACTATTTTCAGCAATAGCAACAGCTGTTACCTTGTCAGAAAGAGGAGGCTCATTAAACATGTAGAAGAAAGAAAATCTGCTCCCAAGCAATAAATGAAATACAGAAAGAGCATTTTGTCTGAGGTTTTGATATATGTGAACCCTGGAACTTAAGTCCAATGCAAAGTTTATATACGAGGGTTAAAAAAACCAAATAACCCAAAGCGACCAAACAATAACAAAAGCTCCACCTCTCCTCCACTCAAGTTTAAATTACTTAGTTCTAGGGCTTTTTTAAAGCTACATCAAAACTATTTCCTTAGGTTCACTTATGATTTGGTTAAATTATTTATTTCCTTCAGGCTTCTAAATGGGGTTACTTCAGTTAGCTAAGTGTGCCATGTAGTACAGATTCATATGCTGTACCAACTGATGCTAGGAGATAGAGATGCAATAGAGACACTATAGTTCCTCCAACAATCATGGGAACTCCAGCTTATTTTAGCTACTGCTAATTATTTCAGTGCTATGATCTGCAAAACCTAGTAAGGCAGAAGTCCAGGAAACATCCAAGTCTTAAACCAGAATTGTAAAATCGACATTTGCCAAGCTTTCAGATATTAAAGGTCTAAAATAACTTCGTGCCACAACAAAAAAAAAAACAAACAGCAAAAGCGCCTGAACAAATTACTGCTTTTGGAAATCTGCTTTACTCACCCAGACTGGAATACAACAGGAGCTTCTGGGCAAAGACATAGAATGTTTTTCGTGTCTTCCCAGGGAAGACACATTCTGTTGTACAACAGCCTGTAAATGCATGTCTGAGTCTTCCAAGTTGGTTTCTCTGGGAACCCCTGAAGATTTCTGTACTTCTGGAAAGCTTTGATCTGGCTCCTTTACATTTGTATTGCATGGAGAATCCAGCTCCACTGCTTTATTTGCTTCATGTACATCAACTGATTTTTCAGGAAGCTTCACATACTTCTTATCAAATGCCTCCACAGGTAATTTTTCAGAAGACACAGTCTCTTCTAATAAGTGTTGAGGGAAAGTTTCATCCACTGTAACTGGTGTGGTATTTAGCTGATAAAATGATTTTTGCTCTTCCATTGGATTCAGACTTTCATTTCGCAGCTCTTCCATTGAACACTGGAGATCAATACATTCCATATTTCTTGCCAGTTCTTCATACTCTCTGGCAGATGAAATACAATTCTCATTGCCCCATTTATTAATTCCAGGGGTTTGTTCAAAAGATCTCCTTAACATAGTATTAAGGTCCACCAGCTGATCTGCATTCTGACAGTGATCGCTCAGAGTAGATTCTAATTGCAGTGGGTGAAAAGACTCTTCAGACCCTGTTTCAAAAATTATCAAGAGTCAAAATTCTAGCAAACACACACAACAGAATTTCAACTTTAAAAAGTCCCTCTGTAATAAGACTCCTCAGTAATGTATAGTAAGTCATCTCAAACAGGAAGAAATATTTTGCTTAAAATCTGCTTAAGTTTCTTCAAACATAATACCATTAACAGTACATAAAACGCTTTCTTCACTGTACACAAAACAGCTCCAAGAAACAGCACTTTTCGTTGCTTCTTAGAAAATGTTTAGGGACAGACTGTCATGGTCCTGACATAACTACTTCAAAAGTCAATGGATTTTACAATTTATACTCTCTAAATGGAAGTCCTTTGAATTCCTTTTGGGCCTCCAACAAAGTCTCTAAACAGGAAGAAAACAATTCAAAACACCATTACTTGGGCAGGAACTCTTTGAAGTAGAAGAAAACATCCAAATTGGAAAAATTATTGCTGTTCCTACAAGTTACAATATTGCACCCTAAATTATTTTTCCCTTAGGATCTACACACACACATACACACACACATATATCAAGAATTATTTTTTTTTCTCCCCAGAAGAGGCTAAGAAAAGAGAAAGATCAGGTATCAACATTTTAATTACTGAGGACGCATTTCAGCAGTACAGCATATGCCAAACAGAAAATAGGGTGGTGTTTGTTTTTTTTTCTTTTGGTTTTGGGTTTTTTTGTGTATTTTTTTAAAAGTATGTCTCTGACCCAAGTCTGATAAAATTGGTTATACACACTCCAGCATCATGCTATCAACAGGCTTTTTATACACATAGGAATATACCACATAAACCTTTGGGGTTTTTTAATTTTTTTTTTTTTTTTTTTTTTTTCCCCATTCTTTGACACCTACAAAATACTTAGTTTTACATGTACAAAGAATACTGCCTCCTGTTAATGGGGAAGGAGGAATTGCACTGCAACACCAGCCATAAAGAGTTTTCCATGATGGACTTATACATCAATCTAACCTTGAACTGACAACCCAAAATAATTTTTACTTGCTTAGCCTGTTGCTTATATTATTTTCCCCCCCTTTTAAAGCACAACAGTGATTGGTTTGGGATTATAAAAACACTTAAAGAGATAGGGAGATATTGCAGTTACATTTAAAGCACAAAGATTGTTTCCATAAGCAATTCAGAAATAGAAATTTTTGAAATTAGAAGGGAACTTTCTAAATCCTATTTGCTGTGACCACAGGTAGTCTCAAAATCTAAGCCTCATCTGGCATTTTTTATTACTTTTTTTAATATCAGCATCTGCCAGCTAAAAAGAAAGAGAAGTATAATAGACACAGAGTAGTTGATTGCAGCTTTAAACGTGAACAGTATGTGTTTGCATATATATATATATATATATACACACACACACACACACACACTTGTTTGGAAATAACAAAGATAATTGACTAGGAACATGTACATTATAAATACATCTATTACCTCAAATACTGTGCTTGTGTTTCCTGTTACTGGTCAGCTTTCTGTTGGAGTACCTTAAAACACTGAAACACCTGATTCTTGGCAAATAATAGCTTCAGAAGTATTTAGATTACTACTAGCTACATTTGGAATTTCAGATTGGTCCTTTTCTTTAGAATACATGAAATATCCAGTTAATTTGAATTAAACTGCAAAACATTAAAAAAACCACTTTTCCTGCTATGAGCTGCAGTTAACTTAATGCTCCTGTAGAATCATAAGACTTTTAATCTACTAATTACTACATTGAAATCTTAAAAGTTCCTTCCTTCCTCTCACTTTCCCCCCTTTATTTTGTAGATAGATGAAGCAATTCTATAATCAGACCAAATATTGGACTGTGCAGTTTATAATGACTACTGGTGACACTTAACAGTGGAAAAGGAAAATTCAATGGTTTCTTGAAGGACACAATGTATAAAAGCCAAATCAGTAAGACCAAAGAGATTCTAACACATATACCTCAATTTTAATCAATTTTTCAAACTTTCTTAATTTCCTCGAACTTAAACTGATGGATATGCATGAACAAATATTTGGAAAAGTACTTAAACTGACAGTTTCAGCCAGAGTTGATATCTATTCACTAAAATCATAATTATAGTTTAAGTAATAAGTAACATAATATCCATACAGTCACTTGAATATGCAGGTCTGCTTTTGTATTAAAATCACAACTGCTGAGGAAATGAAGAACTTCACAAAACTTAGGAGTTCTACTCATTTAAAGGTGGTGGAGAAGACAGTGTGTGAGAGCAGCAGCAGAGTTAAGACATTTCAGAGTAGGACTGATAGAAAAGTGAAGAGTTCCTTCCCGGTTTCAATACAGCCAACCCGCCTTAAGGGTTGGTATTTACATACTGGCAATAAGTTGATTTTTAAAGCATTGATCTAACTATACTGTACATACCTAGAGTAATATTTTCTTTAACATACTCTTCTGATACAATGTTGTTTGGCCCATGTGTTTCAAGACTAGAAGGCAAGCTGCTTCTTTGTATATTTAAACTGGAGTTTCCCACTTCTAGAAACATTGGCGTGTCTTGACTTTTTGTTGAAAGTTTTGAAGTCTTGTGTCAGAAAAAAAATAATCTTGATTAAAATTAATTTTTCCAGAAATATGAAGGATAAAAAAATTAAAGGTATTCTTTGATTTTTGGATCACATTTCTACTACAACCAGCAAAAAAAGCTTCCAGTTCTATGTATATCAAAACTGTGTTTCTTCTAAAGAGAAGACAGTATATGGATTATACATTAAAATCATACAGAAATCTTAAGCCAAAATATTTCCTCCATCAGTTTTTCTGTAGTACCTTGCTAAATTCTCTGTCTTGTGAAATTCTGTATTGAGAACAGGATGATGAAGTATCAGAGTCAAGTCCTGGTTCCAAAGGCTGAAAGAGCTGGTGATGGAAGTTTGGAAAATGTCTCTCCATTTCAGGGAAATCAAGTTCAGCTGCTAGAGCTATAAGACAAGAGGTTATTTTAAAAACAAAAACCCCCAAATCAACCCCTCTCAAAAAAACAACAGACATATCACACCTTGCTTCTACATGCAGTAAATAAAGCATATAGAATTCTGAAGGTATACAAACACAAGCTTGTTAATAGTGTTTACAACATCCAGGTCTCACTCTGATTCAAAATTCAATGCAAGTACAAAAAGTAGCAAGGAAGAGCTACACCAATGCTTTTCTTTTTTTTTCAATTAAAATCTTAAGTCCATAAACTCTCTGTTCAGCACTTGTGAGACTATACCAGAAGTAGTGTGGGCTTCCCAGTACAAAACACACAGTGACACAGTCACACAGTGACAGTGAAGTAAGTCCAACAAAGAGGCATAAGAATAATTAAAAGAAGGATGAAGTGCATTATGTTCAAAGAGAAGCCAAAAAACTGTATTTGCTCAATCTTAAGAAAAGGCTTGAGGGTGCGGAGGAAGGGGCACGAAAACCTATGCTGTCTACTGTATCCTAAGGTACAGTACAGAGAAGATACAGTCAGTCTTGAACATGCTTAGTGAAAGAAAAAGAGATAATGGGACACAAGATGAAACACAGGCATTTCTGGGTGGATACAATTTTTCAAAAAAAAAAAAAAAAAAAAAAAAAGGAAGTTGTTAAAATGTTGCCCAGCAGGGTACAGAATCTCTGTCCTTGGGAGATATTCCGAACTTGCCTGGACAAGGCCTTAAGCAATCTGGTCTAAATTGGCTCTGCTGTGAGCAGGAAGGAGAACTCAGATCACATAACTAGAAGTCCTTCCTGGTCTAGACTAAACTATAGTTCTATGATTCTAGGTTTTCAAACATTCCAGGAAGAAGTGATTCAATTTAAAATACTAGCATTATCCCCACGCTAGGTCATACAGATGTTCTTATTTTCACAAACAGTTAAGAACTCCAACCAGTCTGTTAATCAGAGTTTCATCAGCTATGTGACCCTATGTGAATAATAAGTATTATTGTCTCTACCTTCCTGAAGAGAAAGTTGTGCATTAACAAGTGATAAAATTGACACAGGTAAGGGTCTAAGCCATGGTAGGAGGAACCTGCACAGAACTAGACTATGATCAGAGATACCTGATCAGACTATCTTTTATTTTTCGCACTACACTACGCTATGTGGACAGGTACATAAAGCAAAACATGAAGAACACCAAAGCAAAAGCTCTCGCATGCAGAAACCTTACTGACTTTAAAATGTAAGCTAAATATAAATAATACAGATTAACACAGAACACTGAGTAAACTTCTCATTCTGTAAGTAGCTCAGCACAAGATGCTTTAAAATGGCAAATACCTCGGAAACATGTGCTGTCCTCAGAGTAAGAGTTCAAGTGTTCAGTACGTTTCCCCAAGGTCTGCTGTATCTGACTTCCTTTATAAAGGTACATCTCTCCTTCAGGCAACTGAGTTTCAGAGGCTCCAGACATATTCTCTTGCCTCTGCCACAAGGTAAAAGGCAGCGAGGAGTTCCAAGGGCAGCTTGCTGTTTCTCTCAAAATTCTACCTTCTGTACCATCAGAAGACAATCCTGAAATAATAAGCTAGATGTTCACAGTTTTGCATATAAACCACTTACAAAGTCATCTAAAAGACACTAATGTCCTGAAATATTCATATAGAGCTTTGTGCTTGTTTCTTTAATTGTCTCCTCTCAATGCTCCCACAAACCTTACCTCGGATTTCCACAAATTTAAGTTAGTAATATCTAATTAGGTAGTAGTCAGTCTAGTTTAGCACTTTTAGAGTATGCAGACTTAGGAAATACTGAAACAATAAAATTAAAAAAATGAATACTGTTATTTTATGCGAGCTAGTGTATTTTTAGCTCCTATCACATATAAATGTATCAATGCTATAATGGGATCTTGAGTATCTTTATGGCATTGAAGAGTAGTTTTATGCATGCTTAAATAGAAATTGCCTGCTACCAACAAAAGAAATCTGAGAAAATCAAGGAAACCAAAATCATGTTCCTAGTTAGAGCACCAACCCCTCTTTGTCTACATGCTTCCAGAAGAATTGCACAAAGATAGCAGAAAAGGTCATTAACCACCAAGTGTATAGTGAAGACACAGCTAGACTTGAAAAATACATTCATGTGGCTAAGTGACCAAAACCTTCAGTATTTTTCTTCCGCAACCGAGAAAAAAAAACAATAAAAAAAGCTACAAACAAATGATCTTCAAATTTGCTTTAGCTTTCTTCTATCAATAAAACACAGCTCTGTCACATAAATTATAAAGTTTATTACTCAAAATGACACCAGTTTAGAACATTAGGGTTAAAATGAACCATTGAAATCTAAGGCTGTAAAAAAACAGTAGCCTTCAAAAATTGGTTTATAAATGTGGAATAACTAATATATACATGTGGTTGCTTATGAGATCAGGTATGTGTCAGATTAACACAATATTAAGCTTTAAAGTAAATAAATCCACCTATCACTATCTAATCACTTTCAAACTCACTTCCTATGTTCACAAGTGATAATGTCAGTATATAGAGGAGCAATTATATATTTATTGAAAAGGAATTAATTTTAATTTCATGAAAAGCTAACTTAAAATCAAGAGGCAGACTGCAGACAAAAAGTTATATGAACATAAATTTCTCGGAAAACTATTAAAAGTCAGTATGGCATTCAAATGGCATTTTCACAAATAATAATTATTATGGTGACAAGTAGACATTGGAACAATTCTCTTAACAGCAAGACAATGATCATAGTTCTGTAACAAATTATGACAGACTGATTAGAGAACTTTTATCACTGTATCATCTGGGGATCAATTTTTTTAAGTTTTTTTAAGTTTTGTCACTTGAAAACTGCTAGTGTTACAGCTGCTTAATAAAACTCAACATAGCCTTTGCTAAAGCTGATGTGTTCTCATTAAACTCAACCCTAAGACATATCAATAATTCTTAAGTTCCACATTGACCTATACTGCTATGAAATAAAGAATACACAAATTTTCCTCTTACAAGAACAACAAAACTTAGCGCTTACCAGTGTCAACAGGGCTTACATCCAACATTTCACTAGTCAAAAAGCTTCCAGTAGAAATCGTTGAAGATAAGTCACAGGGTATTCCTTGCATGAAAGCCTTTGAACCTAAGTTTGTGGATACTGCTTTAGAAAGTACTTCCTAGGATGAAATAACATACCTATTACCACGTATTCAGATATCCATAATGAAAGCTTTAAAACCACACACTGTATTCTGAGCTCAGGTCAAGTGTAGAAGCCTTCATGTTTTGCACAGTCAGGCAGATAGAGATTCATCACTGCTCAGTACAAAACATTCACACCCAGACACATCACTCCCCAACAGCCCCCTCCCCTCAGCGCACACACACAGGCACACACACACAGAGTTAAAAAGCCTCTCAGAACTGCATAAAAATCATGACACCTGGAAGATTAATTTATCTTCTGGTGGTCAGATTTGGCTATTTCTCATCACAGACCCACTTCAGTAGAAATGTAGATCTCAGAGGAACATACAGACAATACATGACAAACATTAATTTCACAAAATTTTACAAGTATTTGCAATACTGAGCCTTTTGCATACAGGAGACTGACTTAAAATTTTAATTCTACAAACTAAAAATATACAAAATATCCTAAAATATTATCTTCCTTAATTTTGAGGTAAGCTCTACGAAGTCACAAAACACAGAATGAGGGTTCCTTTACTTCCTAATTTTGAAGAATTAGATGTGAACATTTCTTCCCAAACTCTGAAATAAAATGTGCACTAAGAAAACAAAAGACAAAACAAAAGACAAAACTTTAAGAAACCCTTCCCCTACATTTCTCATTATATACTACTTTATGTATTTAACATAAACACATAAAATGTATATTTAAAAGTAATTTTATAAACACACAATATACATAGCATTTTTCAAACAATGTTTTTATCTCCTGACAAAATGATGGGATCTTTGGGTAAGGGGAAAAGCAGGGGATATCACTGGTGTTGATCTTGGCAAGGCTTCTGACACTATCTCTCACAATATTCTCGTATTCTAGTTTAGATGTCAGAACCTGGATGGATGGACATGATGGTTAAAGAACAGGCTGGATAATAAGTCTCAGAAGACAGAGATTAAAGCGTTACACTCTACCTGGAGGTGGGAAACAAGTGGAGTACAAAAGTGTATCTGGGTAGTGTGCCCAGATGGCAAATACCATACTAGCTTGTATCAGAAATAGTGTGGCCAGCAGGACCAGGGCAGTGATCATCCCCCTGTACTCAGCACTGGTGAGGCCACACCTCGAATACCATGTTCAGTTTTGGAGACACTGAGGTACTGGAGCACATCCACAGAAAAGCCACAAAGCAGGGGAAGGGTCTGCAGCACAAGTCTTACAAGGAGTGGCTGAGGGAACTGGGGTTGTTTAGTCTGGAGAAAAAGGAAGGTCAAGGAAGACCTTACCACTCTCTACAACTACCTGAAAGGGGGTTGTAGCAATGTGGGTGTCAGTCTCTTCTCTCAAGTAAGAAGTGATAGGATGAGAGGAAGTGGCGTCAGTTTGCACCAGGGGAGGTTAGATTGGATATTAGGAAACATTTTGTCACCAAAAGGGTTGTCAAGCATTGGGACAGGCTGCCCAGGGAAATGGTTGAGTCACCATCCTTGGAGGTATTTAAAAGATGTGTAGATGCAGTGCTTGAGGACATGGTTTAGTGGTGGACTTGGCAGTGTTAGGTTAATGGTTAGACTTGATGATCTTAAAGGTCTTTTCCAACCCAAGTGATTCTGTGACAGGGCTCTGTCCTAGGACCTGTCCTCCTTAATACCTTTGGCAATGACCCAGGAGGCGACATCATACTTTCATAGTTTGCAGATAACTAAGTTGGGAGGACCATCCAATATATGAAACAGCAGAGTAGACATCCAAAAGGACTTTGTGAGGCTGGCCCTACAGAAATGTTATGAAACTCAGCAAGAAAAAAAATGCTAAATGCAGCATCTGGGAAGGAAGAACTCCATGGACCAGCCCAAGCTGTGGCCTTGCTGTGGAGCAGCACTGGGAAAAAAGGGCTGAGGAGGCTCAGCAGATAGCAAGCTGAATGTAAGCCCACGGTATACCCTGGCACCAGAGGGGCACAAACATTCGTGCAATATGAACAGGAATACAGCCAGTAGATCCACTGCAGTGATTACGTCCTTTACTTGGTGCTTATTATATGCTGCATCTAGAATACTGCACCCAGTCTTAGTTTTCTGTGAGACAGAGAGATTTCACCACGAAATAAAAAGTTATCTTATATGATTATTTTGATATGACTAACCGTATTATCAAGTCTGAATGATGGTCCAGAACATGTTGCAACTCCCTCTCCAACTTCAGCAGCAAGAACTGGTGAATCTTGAGCCACTTGAGAATCCTGGGACTGGGCTGAACACAAAAGTAAAATAAGTAATAAATAGGCAACTTTCAAGTTCATAGTTAGCAACTTTTTGAACACCAGATGGCAGTAATACTCTACTGCTGCTGTCCCCACTATGGGGCACTGATTTTGCCCATCCTTACCACTTTCTTCTCACCTACAACACACTTTCTGCTCAACTGTACCACCAATTTAATTGGCAACCAGTGGTTCTCCTTGACCAGCCTTCCTAAAATTTCCAACTAGCAGAGCATGCAGGAAGAGCTAGACATGCATGCTCTGGCTTTACAGAATGAAACATGGCTCTGCTAGTGTTAATTGGGGTGGGGGAACCTCCTGCCCTCTACCATTACAATAATTACAAAGAAAAGCAGATGTTTTAAGTAGATCAGAGAAATCAGAAACACTGGATTACTCAACTATAGCATGACTACTACCACGGAGTTGAATCACCTTTGCCACAATGCTCTTATACATGAAAAGAAGATCAGTATCTGTGCAAAAGCAGCACCAGAAAAACTGCAATTTCTGTATTCAGCACTGATAAGCACCTTTAAAGTCTGACAATTCCAAGGCTGTAAATTTATTACCAACAAACAACAACAACTCTAAAATAAGAATTCTTACTTCCAGTAATAATTTTCAAGAAAGAAGTACTAAATATCAAACTGAAATTAAGCAGTAGATCTGAAGTAGGTGTTTTCTCCCAATTTCTGCAAGGGCTGAAAGTGACACATTTCAAATCCCCAGCAATTGTAAGACTCTATACTTCAGCAGATCCCGTAACATTTTGTGAATCCTAACACTAGTTTGTACCTTGTGTAAGCTGAAATTTTTTCCTACTATACAAAAAAAGTGGGAGAGAGAGGTTTCCTTTGTGAGGCAACGCTAGTGAAGTATCTATACAATGTGATACTTAGGCATCTCAATAAATAAGAAACATTTTAAAACTCATTTCAGGGCTGGGACTGGGGTAAAAAGTCTAACATTTCCTATAGCTGCTATCATCCAGCAGTCTTCTAGGAGAAAGCAGAAGACATGAAAGGAAATACATCTAAAATATATTTATTGGGATTAAAAGAGAAGTTAACCTATTCTTAATTCATTTACTAATACATTAAATGCTAACTGACTGATCTCAAAATAAAGGGTAAAGAAATTCTCAAATGCCTTATTTTTCCCCACACATAAATTCTTCAGAAGCTTTTAGCAGGCTTGATCCTGATCATTGGTTACTGATCAAGATGTCATAAAACAGAGCCATCGGCAATAAGAGTTTGCAAATAATATGAAGAGTAGAAGAATAGTAAAGAAACGCAGTAGCACTGCAATAGTAAAAATTACCTCAACCTCCTGCAAAGTTGGGTATCTTAACACTGTTTCAATATAGATAAATTGAAGAGCACAGAACAGTGGTTTCTGATCCCTTTACTACAAGTATGTGACAAAGATCTTCGGGTTCACAGGAAACATAGCTTTTAAGGTTTGAGTAGAACAAGGTAGCAACAAGCTCCTTTGTTGAAGCAGTGTGACTTAGTCTAGATACACTACAGAAGTCTGCTCCTCCTCTTTGGAGCAGAATATAGGAGACAGAGGATACTGAAAATGAGCAAGGCGTTGAAGAAAATTCCTTGAATCATTAAGAAAACTGCAATCATATTTCTTGGTATTTAAGTATCTCCATAGGAGAAAAACCACAGTTTTTCTAAAGATTTCTAAACTCAAAGAACTTAATAACAAGAAGCAGTGGCTAGAAATATCTGTCAGACATTCAGAAGCTGGAAACAGACCATTTATTTTATAATTTGATAAAAAATTAAATGCTGGAACAAGCTACCAAAGAAATCTGATACCTTTACATTAAGATTAGGTATTTTTCTGAAATAAATTTTATTTTCTAAAGGATATCAGTGTGACAGGTAGTAATTCAGGATACCCGAGACAAGATTCAAGCATTTAATACCCTCTTGTATATAAAGTCTATGGAAAGCTATGCTACAACTGTTTAATTCCTATACTGAAATAACATGCATTGTTCTTGTGATATGAACAGTGGCAGTTTCACACTATAAAATTAATGAAAAATACAACATGCTCATATCTCATTACTTTATTACAGTTTAAAAATATTAATGTATTTCGTGACTGAAAGGAGGGAGGTTTATTCTTCTCTCTCTTCCCTCCAAAATAACAGTGTAAGGTTCTTGCTCCTCAAAGCTTCCTGACAGCAGCATGGGACTTTCATGTTTTAACCTCCTAGTCACCACACTGAGACAAAGAATTTGCATTTAAAAATTGAGGCTGTAATATCCTGAATGCGCTTTTTTTTTTTTTCCCCAACAGAAATTGCAGTAAAATAGCAGCATTTTATTTCAGGGTACAATTTGAAAGAGAAAAGACTGAACGACAAACCACTATGAAGACAATATAAAGAGAGGGATTAGTCCAAATCCAACCATGCAGACAAAAAAATTGTATTCCACGCTGGTTTGGCTAAATTAGTGATGGATAAGACAATCTTGTCACAATAATCAATTATGGACAAATATCTGGCACTACTAAAAGTAAACTGAAATCTTAGGTTAGCTTGGATCACACACACACACACACACACACAAAAAAAAAACCCAACACACTTGGAGTAGCTTCTCCGTAGGGAATAGCAATACAGGAAGATAATCATATCTGGAGCCCTGCTCAAGGGGACTGCTGAAGATGAATAACGAGAGAAAAGCCTGTTGATATGTAATGAAGAACTGTGAAATAGATGTATATATCAAATCTAGTCACTGTTTTCAGGCTGACTTCCTAAGGAAATGAGGTTTATGCCATCAGACTGTCTCACCTATAGGGTTACTCTGCAATTCCATATTAACCATTTGCATTCTATTAGCTCATTTTAAACAAATAGGATTGGGAAGAATTATTAAGTGTCCAAAGCTCCTAACTCATCTTGTCACACATCAGTGGCATGGTAAGAGAGACCAATCCGAATCTCAGCCTCACTGTCAGCATTTATTGCAACAACACTTTAATTGTCCTCTCTGGCTGACAACCAGCTGATCAGTTTGTGTAGCACCTGTAACTGAACACAGGGATTAATTTCTCCTAACTAGCAGCAGTCCTTAAGACCCATTTTATGTCTGCCTCCAAATTTGAGAGTTCAAGTAACTTTTCTTCTTGTAATACTTGGAAGAAAGAAATACAGCTAATTATAGAAATTTTTAAAGAATTGTTTGTTACCCAAGGACAAGTGTCACATCAAAGAAAACTCACCTCTCCTGATAAAGTATCCAACAAGATTTACCAAGTTTATATTTTTAAGAACCGGTAAAAACAATTACCTTTTTATCTTTAATGCTTTATTTTAAAAAAGCATGTGAGGAATGATTAATAGGGTTTGCACATATCTATTGGTTCTGTAATCACGAAAACAGTACAACTCATAAATTGTAAACCTTTACATTAATTGATCAAACAAGAAACACCAATAACACAACTTCAAAGCATATTATATCTTGAAAACATGGGAAAACTGAAAATGTGTTCTGGTTAGAATCAAGTAGCAAAAATAAATTTTAAAAAGCAATTAAAAAAATAATCAAAGCTACTATCATAAGTCACAACTTAAAATGCACCTTAAATTTCCCTTTCAGAAATTTTATATTTAACACAGACTGTAGATTTTCTTGCTGAAGATACTAGTTACCGGAAGTACCACAGAGTGCTTCACAGCCTTCAAATTACTGTTTCAAAGATACTGTTGACAGTTTGGGTAGTTGAACTGCTCTAGAGGACAATCCTCTTAAATACATTTTTTTTTTTTTTTTTTTTTTTTAATAAATACAGATGTTCACATGTTTTCTCATCCTCTCACATAAGCCACTGCACTGTACATATATAGTATCGACTTGCATAAAAGGACACTACACTATTTCATATTAATTTGGTAATAGCTGATCTAGCGATGCCTCTACAACTTACTCAGAAAAATATAAGCCTTTTCTTCAAATATGGTTAAAGAAGACAAAATTCTTTATTAATAATTTAAGGTTAAATGTAGGTATACTTCAAAAACAGTATTCTGAGAATTAAAGAAAGCAGTTGAAACAAAATGAGCTTATATGTACTTACTCAAAACAACTTCAATTCCTAGTAAAACCTCATTGAATTCAAAAGTGGGACTAAACACAAACTAAATGAAAAGTTATCTTAAGATTTGGGGCACACATTTCTAGCAAAACCAGGAGGTACATACTCCGCAGCTGTATTACTCATCAAGATGTACAGATAAGGTAGCAAAGTTGCTGGAAACTCCTTTGCAGCTCTAGTAAAAAAATCTTTAGATGGATACTGAAAACTTTACTGGACCATGAGATGCTCTCATCTTGTAATAAGCTTCAAAGCTGCTTTAGTCAATGTTTCACAAAGTTTGGATTAACAGCTCCCAGCAAGTCAGACATAGAATTTCTCAGTTATAGCAACAATAAACTGCATCTCCATCTGCAGAAAATTTTTAAAAGCAGCAAGTGCATTGTAATGAACTACTGGAGCCTTTGAGTTAACATTATCCCAAGACTGGAGAGACAAGCTAAATTTGTACAGGCAAGAAAAAAAATCAGAAATTGAAAACCTTGACATCTGCTTGTTACTCCAATCTCTTGAAAAACTTCTTAGTAGCCCACTTTCTTTGTTTACCTAAGACTAGTCACCTTTGTCCTTTTATAAGCCAGTCAGCCTACCCATAACATGCTTCTATGTTATTTTTTTACAATCTTGTAAAAAAAAATTATTTTGAACATTCAGAAACCACTTTATAACAAAAAACTTTAGTAACTAAACCAAGTTGGTTTAATTTATGGAAAGACTAACTTTGTCACATATGGACACAGTCTATCCTCAAAGGTGTGATCTCTAATAAAAGCTCTTCACAGATGAACAGATCAGAATTGAAGTAATCCTTACATTATTGCACTATTTTTATTTTTGTCATAACAGCTGATTCTTTCAAAGTTGTTTTGAGCTAAGGATAACACTCAGCCTTCTATTTTTTTTTTTTGGTCTTAACTGTATTTTTAGACAATTTCTTATATAAACTGATCTTTCAGTGTACATCTACATTAGCATGTTACCACTGCAGAGTTCTATTTGAGCATTAGCTTCCTTTGTGTCAATACAAGGAATCACCGGGTACTGAACCAAGCACACCACTGGGATGCTCAAAGCAGGTTCCCACCTCGTGGAGCTGCAAACCTCAACACCCACATTCTGGGTAGAAGGTGCCTCCCTCAGGAGGAAGACACACCTGTTGCTTCTACAGCAGTATGCTCCCTATGCATGCAAGGGATTCTGTTGGTAAGGGCAGGGCAATCAGGTAATAGAAAAGAAGTTTCTTTACAGCCAATTCTATGAGGTACAGAGGTACAGATACAAAGCACATGACTTGGATGAGAAACTGTTTACTAGCAATGAAGTTTACGGCAGTGTGGTCTTCTGTTACTAGAATGGTAATGGATCACCAAAAAAAAAGTCATTCTGAGACACATGCTTACTGAAACACCCTTTTTTACACTTGATGTTATAGAAGTATTTAACCAGCACTACATGTTCTTTAATAAGTCAGGTCACATGCTACAAAATAAATAGCAGTAAAATTAGCAGTGCTGAATGGTAGTCACATAATTCCTTGAAGGAAGAGGTCTTCCTCACCTGAATCATATGAATTTTCAGCAGTCATCAGCAGCACCTGCTGCAATAATCTACTTGACTGCTTACTTGGCCTTGGACTTCCATTAGAGATTTGTTCCTCATAGTTTGTTATGCTTGAAGGTAACCTGCCCTCTTCATGAAGAGCATGACTGTAACATTTCACATATGCAAACTTCCCAATGGTTGAAATGGGAGAAGATTCTCCATCAACAGAATCTGTTTTATATGAATTTAAAACATCTGTAATCAGTTTAGGTATAGAAATGCAGTGTTTTGCACTTAATGAAAAACATTAAGATGCACATCCAATTCTACAGAAATAACCTGCTGAATTTGTACAGTGCTCCATTTTAATAAAGTTAACCACATCAGCTCAGTAAAAACCTTTGCATTACACAGCCTATAGATTATACAGGTTGAAAGACTGTATAGGTCATAGACGTCTCAAAACCTAAATTTTAACTAAAATATTTCTTTTAAAAAATTTCAAATTAATTTTTCCACATAGCAAATCCACCAAAATTTTCAGTAATTTTTCCAGATCCAGAGGCAATATAAAACTTCTCTGCTCTGGCTTAAATACTTCTCCACAATCCACCCCACACAACAGCCCTTTTTGGCCACTCAATCCAATTTAAAAAAAAACAAAAAACCAAAAATCAAGTTCAACTTTTTACTACCTGTCATGACCAACAGCTAAGTAATAGAGGAATAAATCACCTGTGGATCATAATGGGATTACACAGCAAATGAATATTCCTACTCTAGAACTCCACTAGATAATATTTCAGAAAACTTTTTCGGTATGTATTTTGATTTTTAATTTTTTTTTTTAAATTAAGTTGTGTATATTCTCAAAAGCCAAGTGGTTTTGAGAATACAAATATATTCAAAACCTTCACCAACAAAACTCGGCATCTAATCAAGATACCAAATTGGTCCAACAAGAATTATTCTGCATATACTGACACTGACTAGCATTAATTACTTTTCTTTAATTAAAGTATGTCCCATATCAGCTGTTTCATTATTTTGCTCAAGATGAATGCCAGCCTGACAGGCCTGTAATTACTCAGATTGTTCTGTTTAGCACTTTTAAAAACACTGCGACAATATTGAAGTTTTTGTAAAATACGCATTAAATTTTAGCTATGAAGAGACTTTACAAAATAAAAAAAATAAAATATTTACATTTAGAAAATATCAGTTTCTTGTATCTGTCAATTAACATTCCTTCAAAGCATTACGTGCAGATTGTAACAAGCACACTTAAAAAAATAATTGCTTTGTGTAATTGCTCTCTGAAATTTTTACAAAGAATGTTTTGTAACTGAAAAAATTAACTAAAAAGATGGTCCAAAAACTTCTTTAGAAACTTGATACTACCTCCTTGTTTAAAAGATTTCACACACTTTCTTGGTATGCTCAAAAGCTAAAGCTTTAAACACTGTCCATCAATTCTGATGGTTCTCTTTACAATTTCTGTACAATTGTCTATAAACACTGACCCTGCCCAACAGAAAAATCAACAAAGAACTTAAGTCATGGAATTACAGTGAATTTTCTTTCCTTAGTGAAAGACACTTAGACAGACACTTACAGGATAAGATTTCTCAATTATAACTCACTTTGCTAGTATCTAAATTATAACTTTCAAAAAGGCAACAGTATCAGCTATTATTTCATAATCAATCATCTCAAAGACTCTTCAGAAAAGATTCATTTTCTCCAACCTCTATTTGTCAGGAACAGCAGCATTTATTATATATTTTATATCCATATATTTATTTATATATATATTTTTATATATTTTTCATATATATATATATAAAAATATATATATATATAAAAATATATTTTTTTTTAATGTATGTATTTTTTACCTGAAAAAGAAATGTTGCAACTCTTTGGTGTGTCTACCTCTGGTATAACACTAAGTTCATGTTGTTCCAAATCAAGCCCTAACTTGACTTTTGCCACAGGTGGTTTGGAAGATCTCCATTTCTGTTCTCTACATAGAGCTTTCTCAGACTGTTCTGTAAAACAAAGTTTTGCATATTGCAATAATATATACACACATACATCAAATTAACTTGGGGAGATGGTAGAGAACTCCATCTCAACTGAAAAATGAGAAAAATTATAATGAAAAATACTATGCAGCCTTACCGGTTTGCTCAGCTGAATCAATGCACCGTGAAATCATTTCACTTCTGTGAAATTTACTCCTGCCACAATTCTCTTGCTGGTAGTTTTCAAAGACTTGGAAAAAGTCAGTCTTAGGAATCTGGTCAGGCTTTTGTGCTTCTGTGATGTCTTCATTTGTGCAGATATGTCTCACCTTAAAAGGGGGAGGGAGGAAGCAACTGCATTTAAGATTATATTTATACATAATTATCAAACCAGCGTTTTCTTGTTTGTGTATTCCATGCAGGCCAACATTAAGCACTCTGGGAAAGTAGTTCAAGTATGCAAGATACCAGACAGACCTGCTTAGCTTACAAAAACATTTGGACATAAAGGTATTTTATGTAGCTCTACAAATCTAATGTGCTAAAATTATTTACATTTTCAAGGCCTTTGTTATACTATAGCAAAATACTCAGTAATTTTAACAGGACCAATTCCTGAAGAGTCTGTTTTTAGTTTTTCAACTCCTGAATACCGGGATTTTAGCTGCTTTGAGACTGCAAAAACAAGAGACCGGGATTCTAGGCGACAGTTACTTTTCTAAGATAGCTTCTGTTTTAAAAGAAAAAAAAAAGGGCAAAGGAGCTTCTTTAAAAACTCAAAAATAAACCTGGATTTTTCTTGTTACCCAGAAACAAGCAAAATTACAAGTCAAGAGTGCAGCTGCTAAACCAATTTCCTAATAGGTACAAAAAGACAAACTTTAAAAAATAATCTATTCAAAATGCTTATGATATCCTTTGAGGTACTGCTTAAATAGTTTTACTACAAGAGCTGTTTTACACATACAGCTGCATTTCTAGAGCTGAAGAAAACTATACCTGCAGATATTTTGGACAACATAACTGTTTCAATAGGCACTACATTCAGAGACCAAGCACAGAAGTTCATATTATTTCTGTTAGACTGAACAAAACAGCACTCTTGGGGCTTACAGAACACCACTACTGATAACAAATAACAAGTCCTAATTAAAACTTTCATTATGGTAAATCACCTAAAACTACCAACACTCCATGGGATACTTTGTCAATTGGCAGTATTCACTCTTAAGTTGATCACCTACTAGATGACTCACCATGTAAAGCATTCATAAAGCTTACCTTCTTATTCAGAAATTCTTTCAAAGCCTCTTGTTGTCTCTGAATCCGTTCCTTCAATTTATCTTGCTTCTGTAAAAGTAGTTGCTCTTGTATTTTCTGTCTAGAAAGAAGAGCTTCTCTTTGTGCATCTAACTGCTCTTGCAATTCTTTCAAATACTTTTGCTGAGCTTGGATGCTTTCTGATGAGGCCAACACTCTTTCCCTTAAATTCAGTATACCAGAATAATTTAACAAAGATGCATCTCCCGTTTTTGGTATCAAGAATTCCTCAATACCCTGAGCTTTAGATTCTTCATGAGATAAAGTCATGGGTTCAGAAAAATTGAGGGGCTGTTCAAGGCTTGTTTTGACGGTGCTCTCAGCAGATCCCTGCCGATACGCCACAGAATCAGTTGAGGCTGCCTGAACTATACAAGATTCCTTTGTTGCTGGTATGAGGACTGTCTTAAGTGGAAGCTCTTCTCCAGCTTCTCTCTCTATTTGATGATTAGACATCTTCTGAGATGACTCTCTGAAGTGCACCGTTTCTGAAGGCTCAGAGGAATCTTCTGCAGGCAAAACAAATCTAACGTGTTGTACATGTGCTTCTGGTCTCTTTCTTACAGCAGTGACATCTTCCATGGCTAACCCTGATGATAACTGGAATTGAGATGGTTCTCTGATGTGATGATTGGAGGCTTCCAACATTCCCACTTGTTCCTGTGAAGGACAGCCACACAGCAAACAAAACTCTCCATGCTTCCATTTCGATGCTTCTAAAAGCTGTACATGTCTGCCAGGACAAGTGTTATGCATTTGTTGTTCATGTTTCTGTGAAGATGGTTTCTCCAACAAATGTGGTGTTCCTGAAAACACAGGTAGCGACTGTGCATGCACTTGTGCATGAACTTGTTCAGATGACTGGTATTGTGTTGGTTGCACTTCTTGCCTCTGTAGAGGTGGTTCTGAGACAGGCTTTAAATGAAATGATTTTGTTTCCACAGAGCTCAGAGGTGTTGCAGAAGTAGACAAGTATCTTAGCTTCAGTTTATTCTGATACTCCTGTAGACGTTTTCTAGCTTCTTCAATGCTCTGTTTGTGCATCCTGAACAGAATGAAAACATCAGTCTTCAGCGTGACACAAAGATAAACATCGATTTCAATAATCAAACTAATTCAAATTATTTCAAACCAGGCAACTGAGTTCCATTTCACAAAGGAATTTACCTATTTTGCTGCAGAAGGCGTTGTTGATAATTACGAATCATATGTAAATGGATGTCTTCTCCAGGACTTCTGGTTTGTGATATGGTAGTATTTCCAGTCTAATCAAAATAAAAATTTAAGTGCACACATACAAATAACTCACAGAAAATTATTAAAGCAACAGCTTCAAGCTGCATGTATGTTGTCTCTCCTAAATTTACAGAAGCCACTCCATACCAAAGTTTGAAGTCTGTGAGATTTCGGCCTGAGGCAATGAAACTAAAGCAGTTTCTGGAACAGATGGCCTACAGCTACAGTCTCTCTTGGCAAGCCGAGCATACACCATCAAAGCTAATGGTGCTTACAGCAGCTTAGCTCAAAGAGGTAAACACCCAGTAGCAAACTCGGGAACAATGATCGAACTGACTGCAATTTCAAGGCAATCAGATTCTCAGAAGAGTACAGACTGTGCAAATGAACCAAGATTTTAAAAAAAGATTACTTTCCTTCAACATCCTCAATAAATTCCTCTCCTTTAAGTAGCTGAGATCTAGACAGACAAAAACAGAGGTAGGGGCTTTTGGTTTTTTAATGTCCAAGATTTTTTTTTCTTCTTGCAAAAGGATATGTGTACATGCATAATTATTATGACTCTAATCAGATTTTACTAATGGGTAAAGACATGCTGTCCCTGGGACTACACAAAGACAATACAATATTCAAAGTCCAGTGATATCATGTAAAATACAAGCTTCTACATTAGACAAAAGGAAGCTTTTACATGTACGAACTTCTGATCATAGCCTAAGAAATAAAAATTGACAGATTGCCTTGATTGATATAGTTTAAAATTGGCAAATGGTACTCTTGATTTTTATAATAAGGAAAATTGAAAAGCTACACGCAATTTTCTACAATTCTTCACCTCATGTTCCACTTTGTTCTGCTGGTCTGTAGAGGGAACACTGTGGCTTTGTACCAGCTGACCTTGTTCTTCCTCCTCTTTTTTTTTCTTAGCCTCCTCCAAACAAGTTTGCATTTGGATCTTCAGAAAATCAGCCTCCAAACGTGCTCGCTCTTCTTCAATTTGTTTAAGCAAGGCCAGCTGTTCCTGTTTCTGTTGCTCTATTTGCTCCTTCTATTGAGAAGAAAAATGAGGGTGAATCTCCAGAACTGAGTAACAAAGAAATCAAACACTGCTCTCACACACACACACACACACACACACACACACACACACACACACACACAACTTTGTTCCAACTTACAGCAGAAATTTTATTCCTTGTGACAGGCATTTCCAAACTGTAAGAGGCCTTTAAAAATAGTTCCAAAGTTAATAAGAATAATTTTGTTTTACCGGCTAGATATTTCTAATAGTCCCTGAATCCCTTTAATACTGCACTATTATCTGTTCTCAAATTAATAGAACAGATAAAATCAGAATCCAACCATTCAAGATACATTATCATTTTCCAGAGACTGCAAAATAAGTCATTTTCTTAAATTGAATTCAGAAATCTCCTTTGCATTTTACAGAGCTTTCCATCAAGAGTTCAACATATTTAAATGTTAATTCAAGCCTTACAAAGCTTCTGAAATGGCTAATGTATAACCACTTTAAGAGCACTCTATAAATCTCTGAAGTGGTTTGTTTATTTTTATTCTCCTTCCATGTACCTATCAGCTACAAATCACTTAGATCCGTGCATAGCAACAGGAAAAAAAAAAAAAAAAAAAAAAAATCAAAGTACTAGCAAAGATGAAGTGGACAACAGCTTTTAATGAGACAGTCTGAATGGGGCTGTCAGGAAGAGCAACTTGAGGAAAAGCTAGACCCAAGAACAGTTAACGTGGACATAGCAATATATATACCTGGGCAGGTTCAAAGCACTTTCACAGAGGATCTGCTGCCTTTTGGGTTTTTTTTCCTAGGACAGTACAGTTTTGTCAAATTTTTGTTTCCTGAATTCCTGAACTTTAACTCTACAATTGCACTAAGACGTGAATTTCAACTTTCTTTTTTAAATTGATAAACTACCATATAATAGCTAGTAAGTCTCTAAGGATACAATAAAAATGAAAATACAATGAAACATATACACAAACAACACTTAAATAATACACAAACTTATTATTTTCTAAACACATTAAATGTAGCATTCCTGTTGACACAAAAGACTTCCTGCATTTGTTTCCTAGTTAATTAAAAAAAACCCAAAAAAACAAAAACAAAATACTCAAAAGTCTGTAAGCTTTTCCTGTTAGTCTAAACACATTTCCACAGACCTTCCTACATTATTACAAAGGGTTAGTAAAGTTTTCACAGAGTTGTGTATTGTTGACTTCTTCCTTCCTAAAGCAAGGGTATTAATCTACAATTCAGACTGTCATTTAATCATCAGCTGGCATCCCTTGCCTATAGCACCTGTTGGGTTTCATGAAACTGGGTTTTTTCACTCTATTCTAAACTCCAGCTGGGGCTTAGTCATTTTTACAAAGTTAACATGCACAGGCTAAGAAAATAAACTTCCATTGTAACATTTTCTGTTAAGTGTTACAAGCACATTAAAAGAGTCTATAGCTGCTGTATAACCTGAAGCATTTTAAAGTCTTCTGTAAATCGCCATTTTTTACCCTGTAACTGAGATAGGAATAAGTAAACACACTTACCCACTTTCGTCTCTCCTCTTCCATTCTAATTTTAGCTGCTTGTTCTTGAGGATGGATTAGAACTGGATTTTCAACTGCAACTGTATTTTCCAACATTTTCACAGAGTCTAAAATATACACGTTATCTAACTGTAATTGCAGTTAAAAAGAGCCTTGGATCTTCTTTACATCTTTTACAGTTTCCCAACCTCTCTAAACAAAATGCACAAACTGCTCTTGAAAAGATTACCATCTCTATCCCACTACTCTGCCTGTCTCCATAACCTGGAAAATTATTGGCCTTTTATCATGTGTCTTTCTTGAATATATAGGAATGGCCCAGCTCCAGTAGGACTAAAGATTGCTTCTACCAAGATTACTTTGTAGTCTAATAGCAAGATCATCAGAGGAATAAAAAGCCACACACTGACCTCTTGGAACAAAGAGGGTGTAAAACTGACACCCTCTGGGCAAATGATCTAATATTTGGTTATCGCACAAAAAAACAAGTCTTCATCCTGTACTATCAGCTTCAAATAGCAGCACATTGTCCCCAAAGGCATATCCCAAAGGCATGTTTTTACTCATGCTGCACTCTCCAATCCCCAGGCATTATGCTGGTGTATACATGTACACAACTGAACTAAATCACTTAATCTCATTTAAAAAAAACAAGCACCCTATGAAAGTTAAAAACAACAACAACAAAAAAATAAACCTGAATTTGCCACAACTTCATCATTTTAATACTTCAGAAATCCCACTTGACATACAAGTTCACCAACTCAGCACTAGCATAACCAAAACAGCATAAATTAGAAGTAACCTCAAAATTATCTGGCTACCAAACAAAATGAAATGTCTAAGTGGTATAAATTCCAGTTTTACAAAGAGGCTTTTCAGAATGGTGCCTAGAAGCAGAAAACCACCCCCATGATTTCAAATACATCAGCTCATGCTTGTTTTGTGCATTTCGAGCTGTGAAGCTCTGAAGAATCTGACTTCTCCATTTCAGCAGGTAGACAACTTCAATGCCCAATTTTGCACTGAGAATTCTACTCCTGGAGGCAAACACCTACTAAAGCATGGCAACACCAGGTGTGACAACAATTTGGGCAAGATTTAAAAGATACAAAAGTATTTTGGGCATCTTTACTCCACAAGTTGGGAGACGGCCAAGTTGGACATAAGAGCAAAAACCTCTCTCAGTTATGGTTTCAACAAATCCACAATGCACTGTGGGCAAAAATAGGAGAACTGTACTTTCTGGCAACATGACAAAACGCCCACCACTGAAAATCCATTAAACAGTTTTGTTACAGTCCACCCTCACAAGACTTTTTGCTCCAGCACAACAAATTTTGATGCACGTATTACGCACCTTTGGCTTCGCATACCGTATTTCTCTGTTGCTCATAGTGAAGTTCTAAATCACGTAATGGTCTCTCTTCACTAGTAATAGTGCCTGATTCAATAGTCTCAATTTCACTTTGAACCTCTTTCATGCTTTTTGATGTCCACTCCTCTTTTTGACTTCTAATCTTGTTTAGCAATTTCTTTAAGGCAAGTTTGGACTGAGGTTGGTGAGTTTTTGCTTCTTTATGATCTATAAAGAATATATGCTGTTAAGAGTTTTGGGTAATGAATACCTTTACATCATAAAAACAAAAAACCCCTGTTTTGCAGGTTTTGTGGGTTTTTTTTAACTGCTTACATAGTTGGACAAATTTTTCAGTTATATAATCAAGTTTTAAAAGCTTAACAATGTTTTCTCTTACCCAGAAGACAGAAGCAGTAATTTCTCTCTGCATGCTATAAAAGGAGGGCTAAGCTAGTTGTAATGTTTCAATCAGACTACTCCTAGACCATACTGTTGCAGAAATAAGCAGTACTATTCCCCCTGCCTGCCTGTACGTTCCTGCCCTCTCTTTTGTATTAGCACTGGCAACACAATGCATCACAGATCAAAAATCAGATTGTGCCAGCAAAGGGATACAGCAGAAATGCTTGACCAAGCAGCAAAGTTCACTAACACACTTCTTGTTCACATCACATTATCCTGTACATGCCACAAGTGAAGAATACGTACACACACACGCAACTGTTGCAGCCTACTCACAATACAGCAACTCAAACCTGAACATAAAGCACATACAATAAGTAGACTTTGTATTAAAGCTTGATTTTGAAGTATTTCGAAACACAAAATGAAAAATATTTAAATTCACATACCAGCATCATCCCATAATTTACACTAATTATAGAAGAATAATTATGGCTACCAACAGTAGTTCTTACAGCAATTAAAAACTATTCTCAATATGCTAATGAAGTATATTAGAAAAAGTCACATTTTCATTCTTAAATTCATAATCATTAGTGTGTTATCATCTATGATAAACATCATAAACCATGTGACACCAAAGTACTTCACAGGCATTAAGGAGTTTTAGTACTTAAAGATATTTTAGTTAATACTAAAGTTAATTTATTTCATATATTAAACTAAAACTCTTCTACCATAAAAACAAAAAGTTAAATGTAAAGTTTAAAAGCTTACTTTCTGATTCATTAGGGACCTCCTCTTCTGTTATCTGTTCTGATTCTTGTCGAGTATCACAAGCAGATTCTGGTTGAGTGTCACAAGCAGATTCTTGCTCCAAAGAGATATCAAGATCGTTATCTTGAGATCTGTCAGAAGGGGCTGGCAAAGGCTGTGGCTCAAACTGTAAAATCAGGTCTCCTTTCATTTCTAATTAATGAAAACAACCAATTGAAATAAAAAGCAAGCAACTTTGCAAGACTACATCCATCATACAAATCCCTAAGAAGTTCAGATATCAATAGCTTGTGATTTAATTCAACTTTTCCCTTTTCCAAAACAGAAGATTCAGAATTACCTAGATTAATAGTCATCTAGTAACTCAGAAATTCTACGGGCTTTTCCACTAGAATACGCTACATCTTTCAAAATAAAAGTTTATGTGATAAAAGGCTCATCTTTACACAAAAAGCAGCACACCAGAACAATTCCAAGCAGGAGGATCCCAGTAACTTCACCAGGGTAAAGACACACCCTGACCTGGCTGCTCACATGGCTGTCACAGGAGAGTGATTGATCACAAGGTCCAGGTGTGAAATCCTGGAAGACCAGTCAACAGTTCTCCCATGATCACCTTACCAACTGAGGGGGCTACTGCCTACGAGGGGTGTGGGACACAAGGAAAGATCATGTTGTGATTGTACACCTATAGGTATTTAGGGGAGGGACCAAGGCAGGGAAAGGAAAGGATCAGGTTAGTCTGGGGAGGAACAAGTGTGAGGATAGATATAATAAGGGGATAAAAGGGACCAGTCAATACACTTGTCTGGCCATGCACTTTGCCTGACAGTCTGTCCTGTCATCTCACTAAATACCATTTCTAGCTGTTTTCCTAGATGAGGAACCCTCTATTTTGTTTGTATGTGTATGTACGGATATATAGGGGCCAGCAACTGCAGTGGGGACCAGAAGTCACAGGGGCATCCGTGTCCAGATCACTGTCAACTGCAGATACCAGAATGAGTATATATTATGTGGTTATGAGTATCAGCATGCAGTGGCTAGCAAACTGCAAGCCAGAACAAACAACAAGAACAATAAGAGGCTTAGGAGCTAGGTATCAAGCAGCCATAAGACTGGGCTGGATAGTGGAGAGGTCAGGGGATCTGCGAGTTGGCTAGTGGAAAGATCAGGAGATCCAAGCTACAGGGGAGACCATGGGATCTCAGAATCAACTAAGAAACCTTCCAGCGCAGGTGTGTACATCTCAGACAACCAGAGACAAGATCCAGGGTTCACCTAACAGGTAGACTGAGTATTAAAGGTCAGTTACCACAGGAATCCATAGCATGTGCATGTCTGAGCATATGTTCACACACCCAGCTAGGTCTCTGTAGCAAAAACTGGAGTGGAGTAGCAGGTCTTGGGGCCTACATACCCAGGAGCCAGCAACTCAGAAGACTAGGGATCAAGAGCCAGCTGCTAGGTACTGTGACTGTCTAAAGCCATTTACTGAGTGACTCATAGCACATATTTGAGCATAGCAGTGTATATGTGGACATGCAAGATAACTGGAAGGCTACAGGGTCCAGGATGAGTTACTGGATAGACTGGGTGTCTGAGACGCATTCCTGGGGGATCCACAGTGTAACAGGTGGAGGAGACCTCAGGTACAGAGGACAAATGAGTAGACTAAGACCAACTGTTGGAGGGATCCATACTGTTATACAGACACATATCCCACTAACAGGCCTTCATGGTGAACAGGATGAGGCCATTTGTGTGGTTTCTGTTTAATGTGAGTGCTGTGTTTTCAGTGTTGGCCTGTGTGGCCAGCTGTGTGTACAGGTACCAAAAGCCTGTTCATATGTGTACCTACTGTGAATACACACACAGCCTTACTACTAGCTTGTAAGGAACTAAAGGAAGAAATGCCTCAAACATTCATGACACAGAAAACCTCAAGGACAACCTGTGGCCTTTGTGATTAGTCTAAGGAATGTCACCCAATGAAGCGTGGAAGGATGCAACCCCTACTCCCTTGCAGCTGTATTGACAAACTCCTTAGATAAGCCTCAAAGGGGGAGAGACATGGACTGAGTGAAACCAAATGCTTCCCCGTCAAGCACAAGTACCACTAATCACTGGCTCCACTGTGTAAACCTGATATTATGTGGCTCTACTGTGCAAGCCAGACACCATGCACCCCTTGCAAATGACTTCGTGCCTTCGCCATTAAAGAGGTGACAAGAACTGATAAGAGGTGATCACTTCTGCCCCAGGAGCTGGATGATGCTTAAGAAGCACGAAGTCCACAAAATTCAGGGAACTGAGAAAAAAAAACCCCGAAGTATCTTAATCAGCTGATAAGATGAACTTAAAAGGCAAAAAACTTTGCCATGTGTGCACCCACCACACAAGATTACCAGACCTGAGACAAAGCTGGATCCAGGGGTGGTGATCTGCATTTCTTTGATTCTTTCCTTTTTTTTTTTTCCTACCCAATTTTCCTTTTCCAAGTTTAAATTGTTTTCTACTGCAAGTAAAACATTTTAACCAGTCGTTTGGTGTCACTTCACCTGAATTTAACCCAAGGGGATCACAGAACCATTGTGACTCTGTGGGCTTCCAATCCAGGTCATGACACAGCTTGACCTGGGAATGGACAGCTGCAGCAACCTCTCCTCTACTAGGCTACCAGATTCAGCAACCTTCAAATTATTACTTACTCCTGTCTTCACTGTACATATCTTCAAATGCAAACTCCAATTCTCTCTGCCATTCTTCTTTTATTTCCATGCGTTTGTATGCAGGCACAAAAAGTTGAGGTGGCATCTGCGCTATAATCTGTCTTCTGCGCATCCGATCCATATTCTGCATTTGCTCAAGTTCTTTCAGTAGCCTTTCCCTGTCCTTCGGGTATAGAGAAGGGATAACAAACATTCAGAGTTCATATTCAGACAGCCATATGTCAGGACTGATAAAACACTTCCATTTGGTTACCATGAAGTTTGTTTAATCCTAAATGCTTAAAGTTAAATCTATTCTAGAGAAAAAGGTGCTCCTTTGGGAGAAGGCTGTATCTGATCTTTAAACATAGAAGTCATCAATACTACCTAAAGTATCAGACTGTACACCTGTAGGCCAGGTCTGATCTGTTTTATAAGGTAAATGAGTACTTGCTTTGACAAGTTACTTTTTTTAGTATATACTTCAGCAATCGCTACTCTTACAGATGTGAAATAAATACTCTTGGCACACTACAATTATATATAAAAGCTGTTTAAAAAAAGCTTTACTTGAAGTTTGGTTGTGGGTTTTTTTTTCCTGTTAATTTAAGGAGCATTGTTAATATTTCCACAGTTCCCCATTTTAGTTTGGTTACTCATTCAGGGCCAGTTATCTCTCAACTAAAATAAACAAGAAAGCTTTTGCTATTTCTAGCCTCCAAAAGTACTTGTGAAGGCAATAGACAATAAAACAAATTACAGAGCATACCTCTGGGTACAAAGACTTTTCTCAATAGTTCAGTTTTTATTTCTTAAATGAAACAATTTCAGTATTTCCAGACTTATACGCCAACAGAACCTCAGTCTCTAAGCAAGAACTTTGAAAAGTTTTCCAAAAATAAAAAGATAAAAATGTTGCCTTCTAATAATAAACTATTTTTTTACCCCTGAAGCACCGAATAATCAACTGCAGCTAAAGCCCATGAGGAGAAGTTGGACCTCATCACTCATTTAAAAAGTTTAGCTTGGTTATTACTGATTGGTTAATAGCTGGTCAAACAATACGATGGACACTCTTTCATTCTACCTATTTCCAGATAGCCAAAATAAGCAGAGTTAGATGGTTTTTAGACACATTCTGAAAAACTCCATTTAGACCATCAATTTTAAATTCCTATATTTCATTTAGTAATCACCTACCTACAACTCAACACTGGTCATTTTGACATTAAAAACAGGCACAACTGCCTACCTGAGCCAAATGGACCTTCTTCAAGGCATGACTTCCTCTGAGATGTGCCTTTTCAAGCTGCTCTCTTCTCTCTCTCTCTGCATCTCTGTGTAGTTCTTCCAAACGTTTCCCTTCTTCTTCAGCAGCTAACCGAGCATCTGGCTGGCAGTCAATCAACAGTTAAGTCCATGAAGTTCTTTGTGGTAGTTTAAAGCATATGTAACAATAAATGAATAATTGTGCAGCAAAAGCACTTTAACATTTTACCTTTGAAAAAAAGAAATAGGCATATTTACATATTATATGAGTGTCAAAGAGTTCTAGTTTCAAACTGTATTAGGGACAACCATCGGTATTTGTGTCCTGGTTTTGGCTGGGATAGAGGTGATTTTCTTCCTAGTAGCTGCTATAGTGTTGTGTTTTGTATTAAGTATGAGAATGATGTTGATAACACAATGACACTTTTAGTATAAACAATACTTAGTTGTTGCTAAGTCAAGGATTTTTCAGCTTCTCATGCTCTATCAGCAAGAAGGCTGGAAGGATACAGTAAGTGGGGAAGGGACACAGACAGGACAGCTGACCCCAACTGACCAGAGGGATATTCCATACCGTATGGCATCTTGCTCAGTATATAAACTGGGGGGAGTTGGTTGTGAGGGGCAGATTGTTGCTCAGGGACTTGCTAAGCATAAGACAGCAGGTGGTGAGCAATTCCATTGTGCATCACTTGTCTATCTTGAGTTTTAATTTCACTCTTTTTGTTATTTGCCTTTTCATTTAAAAAAAAATGTAATTTCAATTATTAAACTGCTCTTAGCTCAACCCACAAGTTTTTATTTGTTCTTGGTTCTCCCCATCCCATAGAGCAGTGGGAACGAGTGAGCAAGCAGTTGCATGGTAATTAGTTGTTGTCTGGGGTTAAACCATGACAATTTGTTACAGTAGAATGGTTCTTTTTCCCACAATACAAGGTAAAATAATACAGTTGATATTACAGATTGACTACTTCTGTCCTCATTGTTTTGTTTTAAACGAGAGCAGGGGGAATAAATCCAGAAGCTTTTTCACTCATGTGGGAAACGAAAACCAATCTGCAATTTTTAAATATTAAAAATCTTACTAACACATGAAAATTAAAAATATTAAGAAAAAACCCTAAATCATTGCACATAAGCAAGTCTATGAAGATTAACATTTTGGAATTTTCCATGACAAAACTGAATAAACTAAAGTATCTCTTCTTGCTGAGGCCTAGTCCTTCAAATGTTAAGAAAACCTAAACTTCATGAACAAAAACTTCATGAATGCATTAAAGAAAATATTGATAAAACCAAATTTATTGAGCACACTTTTCTAGTCTAAAAGAGGCTGATCCAGAACAGGAACTTAGAATGTGTTATCACATCATCACTAAAACAAACTGTTATTTGGTTCACTTTTCAAGTGCATTACACTAACTCAAAAATCACCTCTAAAAGTTAAGCTTTTGCTCCATCTCTCATTTTTCCAGGTCCTCCCCTTCTTCCAATCTGACTTTAGTTGTTGTTTGAGCGTACTACAAACTTGAGTAAACTTTCCCATTTGGCAAAAATCTATTCATCCTTTTTTTTCCCCCCAAATTAAACTTCTGCCATTTGGTAAGCTGAAACTGCTGAACATAAATATGAGGTAAAGACTGGTAATACACAGCTAAAAAGAAGTGAAGAGAAAAAAAAGCAGGGCAACTGCAATTATTAATTTAGCATAAACCACAAAGCAGAAGATTTAGGTGTCCTAACAGTACGTCAGTCTTGTGAATTCACCTCTTTACAGAGAGAGGTCTGTTCACGTGGGACTGTCAGGTGTGATCCCACAAGTCACTGAGCACTTAACAGGTATTACAAGTTTACACATCTAAGATTCTGATTACTAAACTGTGCAATGGCTGCTTTATGTAAGTTCATATCTTTTAGACAAGTTCTAGAACACTGAATTGCTGATATCCAGACACTGTACACAATATAAAGAAAAATATATGGAAGCATGTATTATAAACCACTTGGGAGTCATCACCTGCTCTCCATCCACTTCTCTGTCCACGTAGGGTTCGGAAATATGGTAACGTGTAACAGAGAAGTTATTGGCACTATGCAGCTTTACTGCGGGGGTCTTTTTCACTTCAAAATTCTAGAAAGAAAAGCACAACAGTTGTATCAGAGAACAGAAAGCAAAGCAACTAAACAGAACATAAGATCTGTACACTTAAATTAGTATTAGGAAAGCCACACCCCCAAATTCTCTCCTGAAAAAACTGCTGGTTAAATCTCTATATACATTTAATAATTAATGAATCACATCAGCGCAAGGCAGATCCAGAGGGCTTAACAACTAAGAGCATGTAACAGCCTAAAGCAAACTCCTCCACACAAATTGACGTTCTGCTCTACATTTGTGTTTCTAAAGCATTACCTTAAATTAAAAGCACTTAAGTTTAATGTACTAATACAAATCCCACTTACAACAGCTGTCACACCTCAAAGCAGGGCAACCACAGATCTACTATATAGTTATATCTAACAGCAAAATAATACTTCTCAAGTACAGGCTTTCTTTATGAAAATCAGAACCATTATGTCTAGTTTCTTAGCTGACCAGAGAAAGAAGCATTTTCCATAACTTCACAGAAAAGTGTCTATTCATATATAACACAAAGTATTTACTTTTTTTTGGAAAGTATTGGGTACACCACCACATTTCAGCTCTTGTCCAAAAGAATTTGAACACTGAGCAACCAGGCCCTCCCTCCCCCTTCTTTAGCTCAGCCTGATGTTCTCAGTAGTGAGGTAGCCAGGTTAAGTAACTCTTTATTCTGGAGGAGCTGCCTTTGTACTTCCAACATCTCCTTCACTAATTTTCTCTCACCTTCCTCCTCCCTAGACTTTCTCCTAAAAAAAGATTCTTAGCCACATTAACTACAACAGCAAGTTTAATAGCCTGAACAGTTTAAAACTGACATGACCATAAACAAATGCACATACACAACAAGCCACATTAAGTCCCAGTAGTATCTTAAAACTTATCTCTATGTAAGATGAGGTATACAAAATTTCAGTATTATCTCTTGCTATTTTATAAAGACTGTAGAAAGTAAAGTCTTTAAATTAAAAAGGCCCAAGATAAGCAATTAGTTTTAGCCTTACCAACAGAACTTCAGAACCATAAAATAAGTTACTAAGAACCATAAAATTCATGTTATTCCAGTGGGAAGGAAAAAAAGATGTGTAGAAATAAAAGCACACCATCAAGAGCTTCACTTATTTGTACATAACACTGTTTAAAACCTGCTAATTTTCTTAATCATTATATCATAGTAATTGTAACATCAATATTAACCAAAATGCTTGTAAATACTGATTATAGCTCTGAAAACAGGCAAGTCCCATACCTAACCTTCATTAGCCAGATCAACTGCTTGACCTGTGTTATTTCCAGAATGTATATTTAAACCTGTCCTCTGAATTATTTAAAAATATGCAAAATAAATCAGTAGTTAAAAATTGCATTTAATGAATCAAATCTCCTGAATTTTATTCAAAAGTTGTGAAGATACAAGAATTATGTGGGAGGCTGCAATTTTCCAATGAATGTCAAAAGCAATGTAGGTTGAAAAAAAATAGTACTTTTATCATTACTACACCTCATGATGGACCCACTGCAGTTAAGAATCTATTCATACTTCCATCAAGAGGTTTGCAACTCCTCTCATTTTTTCCCCTAAAAAGTAAATAATTCTATAGTAAAATCTGACAAAACTGAAGTAGTAGTGTATTATAAAATAAAAAAAGAAAACAAAACTACAAATGTTATGAATACTCAAAAAGAGTATAACAGTATTTGTAGGTTGCATTTCTATTACATACAAATCTTACAGATCATAAAAACGTAAGTTCACAAGAACTCTGTGACACTTATGAACAAAATTTTACAGTTTAGTTTAACTTCTATAAAATCACTTAGCAGTTGGCCTAATTAAACAAGGCCTCAATTCCTAAAAGCCATCCTTCTGAGAATTGAATTTAATTATGATGATATATCTAGAGTAAAACCACTTCTTTTGTAACTGGGTAGAGTAACCAGATAAAGTAACAGTAATAGAAGTATCATCAGAAAAATGTTTCTTGTATTCTAAGTAATCCTGCAAGGAGCAACACTGCCCTGGCTCCATTTTATGAAATTCTATTCAATTGTTGCTGCAACAGAGCATCAGATTATGATTACAATTATGTTTAATAAGCTCTTTACGTAAATAGATTCAAGAAAATAAGCACACATGCAGATGATTTTGTAATTTGCTGTAATTCACTGGATTTAGAGTAAAGTTAAGCAATTCAAATTCAGTGTCTTGAGTAACCCATTTAGCAATACAAAGCCCAAGACTTTTCCCCCCAGAAACTGACAATTAAAATCTTTTGTTTTCTCCTATATAGAACTAGGAATAAGCCACAACTCTAATCATCTCTGATCTTTCATTTAATTAGCATTTACCCCATGCAGTACACAGCAAACAGTTACTCTTCCAATAAAATAACTATATTCTTCACCCTGGGCCCTCCCAGCAACATAGGCCTATGACAAAAGGATTAAAATCCATACAGATATGAAAACTAGAAAAAAGGCTCAAAGTCAGCTAGTCTTTATTAAATCGACATGCTGTGCTACACTGAAACAATGCAATGCAATCTTTCCTCAACAAAAATTCAGCATGTCTGCAGAACTGTTGATTCAATCCATTCAAATCATTCAATTCCATTATCAGAGCATGAACTTCTTAAATGAAACAAACCCCATGTATTGTAAAGTCCAGGTGTTTGCAAACTCTGCTAAAAACAGCTAAAATCACATTTGTTAAAAAGGTGAATAAAAGATATTAGTTCATGAGTGGAAATGCACTAAACTGTAGAATTTCAAGAAAGGGATTTATGATTCTGCAATTCACTGAATTCTGTGATTCTGCAATACTTAAACAGGGTACTGACCCATGCCTGTCATCCAATACAATCATAATTGTATTGTACAAGCAATTGTACTAGAACCTGGGGAACCTGAACAAAGTCTTCTTGCTTGCCCTGGTGAAAATAAGACTAGAGAAGAAGAAATAAATTCTGCATTTGTAAAATGGAAAGACAGAAGCATTACCGAGGTTGTTAGATGAAAAGTATTATATAGTACTGTGTCTTTTTAGCTGTTATAGCATCTACAGATACCATATTAACTGCCACTGACTTTCGGGCACCAATTAGAAATTTGTTTTGTTTTTTAATAGAAATCAACATAAAACACATCCGTGCAAAAGTCACCAAAAAGCAATGCTGCAGCATCTCATGCTTTTCCAACAATGCCAAACCGAGCAACACAAGCATCTGAAAACCAAGAAATGAAGAGTCAAAGTTTTAACTGATATAGCCTTCATCTGCTCTACAGCAGATACACCAGGAACACACAGAAAAATACAGAGGAAAACAGCACCATGAAAGAGTGTCTGAATTTACCTGAACAGTACCATAGAAGATCTTACTGCATCTAAATTCCAATTTTGCATACACTTGACCAAAAATAACCCCAAACTTTACCACTGCCTTACAACACTTGCTTTAATCCTCACTCGTATCCAACTTCCACATTAAGAAAACTCACAATAGGAAAACTTCCACAATAAGAAAACAACAGAAAAGCATTGTACTAAAGGACAAAAATAGAAAGCATATAGGCACTCCTTCTAATCATTCCAAAAACTGTGAGGGTCAAACCTTACTCAGTTTTTTCCAGATACATCAGTACCAAACCCCTATCATCCAACATGCTAACATACACATAATGTGCTGGATGTACCCGGGAAAAGCTTTGGTAACTTCACAGGGACTAGTAAACCTTAATCTTTTCTTTTCTTGACAGTGGTCTGAACATCCCTGAACCTGATGGTCTGGAAGGGCACAACAACACATAAGGCAACTTAAACTCTGCACTAAAGAAGTTTCATTAAATTAAATTTAGTAAAGGTTAATTCCAAAGTAAAAATGCACACCATGTTCTTCCTGCAGTTCAGATCTGCAATCCTACAGTAACTTCTATACCTATGCAGAATCTCTCTGAAATCAAAGCAGTACAAAGGAGACACAAAGTCTCCCCCTAAAAAGGGTAGAACATAAAATGAAAAATACAGGTTTTAATCTACTTTCCTCCCCAATAGCTTTAGGTACTGGTTTTCTATCAAAATGAAACAGCTTACCCTACATTTAATACTCTACAAGAAACAAAGAAACAGGAAAAAAAAATCCCACCAAGAAAACCGACAGCTAAAAATGCAGAACTATCTTTACTACAGAATTAAACAAAATGCTACTACTGTAACATTATGACAGAAGTCTGATGTGTACATGCTGAGAAAGATCATCACAGAGTTTAATGCCACTGTGGCTATTAAATGAAAATGAGATAATGATAAAGTCTGAAAGACACATTAACCACAAAAATAAGATCTCCGATGAGAAGTAATAAAATCCACACATAACAAGAGATCAGAAACAAATACTAAAGCTCAGTAGTAAGAGGTTTGCTAATACATTAATTTTCTTCATTTTCATCCTTGTAGTATGCAAATAGCAATTTTGGATAACCTGTTGTGTGAAGTCACACCAATAAAAAAATCATTACATTATATGGTACCTTGAAACTGTGATCACTATCGCATCATGGGTACATACCTCAAGGGGACGTGGTGGTGGAGGCGGCAGGCTTGCAACTCTGGCTGCTCTTTGTCTTTCCACTTCCAGAGCATGTTTGCGTGCATTTGTTCGTCTTGGGGGGAAAAAACAAAAATACACACACACACACACACACACACAGAACCCAAACACAGATGAGAGAAGGAAAATTATTCAAGCAACAATGACAGCACTGTGCAAGATAAAAGGCAAACCTAAAATTAAACAAATTCAGATGTATCTGAATTGAACGCTTGGGGGATAGGGATGGACAAGCACACTGAAAAGTCAACAGAATGGCAGCACTGGAAAACTAATTTCTTGAAGTAATGCAAAAGTGTTAACACACAAGCTTCTAAAGAAGAACTCAAAATCCCTATTTTTTACTTAAGTTTTCAGAAAGCACTGCATCATTTCAATGTATTTTAATTACTCAGCTGTGGACAAAACTAAGTATTTAATCAACAGGTCTCAACTCTACTCAAGCACAACTATCCCCAAGAGTACATAGTTCATTTTTCATGCCAGCTTAAGTTTGGTCCTATCTGCTTTAAAAAAAACCAAAACAAAACAAAACCCATGCTAAGAAGGAAGACCATAACAAATGCAGTAGGTCTTTTTTTCAAGTGGTTAACTGGACTGAGAACATTTCATATGTCACTGAATAGCTGTCAGCCAACAATCTAGACTGAAAATAGTGATATAGAGGTCAAAGGCCTTAAACTCCTTGAGAGTCTGTAAGGCCAGCTCATATACTTGACACTTTTGTCTTGTTTTTAGAACTACAGTTCTTATCTAAATCCACAAGCTTTGTCTGCAAGCATTAATTCTCTAATGCACAAAATTTCAAGATAAAAAATGCTCCAAGCAAGAAGCATCAAGATTTTTGCCTTTCACCTTGTAACACTGTAAAATGCATTCTAAGCTTAATAAAACTAGGTAACTACTGCATACCGTGCTTGCTCACAAAGTAATTTTTCTTTTTGGTACTTCTGCTCTTTCAGGGCTTTCTTATGTCTCTTCTCTGCTCTTTGCTTCCTTTCTTCTGCTTGCTTTGCCAGAGCTTCTAAGTCAGGTTCCTTAACAATAAAATATTGGAAGCAATTAATACAAGATTTTACTCATACTATCAGTGTGGTAATTCAAATTAACTACTGCTGGTCAGACTCACAAGCTCAAGATTACTTTCTACTGTATTAGAGTAAAATTACTCTAAATAATAACTTCTTCTCTGTCATCTTCTTTATTCTCTTCTTTTCTACCACATTCCTCAGCCAATGTAACCAAATATTGACGCGGAAACCTTACCTTTTTTCTACATCTCTTTGATTAAGGGGGTAAAATAAATACATTTTTGCAAATGCTGACTAAACTGTACAGAGAAAGCATGTTACTACCTTTCTGTCATTAATTACAACAAGCATGTATCAGCAGAAACATTTCTTTAGGATTAGTTCTCTGTTCCTATGGCATTGGTACCACAATTTTCCTCAAACTCACCCATCCTACCATTGAAAAGAACTTTACAAAGAAGTTGATTTAGAGACAGAGACATGAAAAAGTATTATGTTATTTTACATGAGCTAAAAATCATGACTAATTCAGGAAACAAGCTAGTCTGCAAAATTCATGCAAGAAATCTATAGCACCATGACTTCTATAAACATGGTTCAGAGTCAAATCTATGAAAAATTTCTACCCAACAGCCCCAATGATCTCTCAAAGAGAGCCTACACAAGTTAGAGGATTTTAAAGAAAGCAAAAATAGTTTATAGGCACAGAATTAAGAAGTGACACCAGTTTGCAGTCTAGGCAAAGGCCTCTGCAGCCCTTAGGCAAGACTTTCATGTCACTTGAGTACTGAAGAAAAAAAAAAAAAGTTGTGTATGTTCTTAACTGTAGAAAAGATATTGTTATATGGTAGAGAGAAAAACTTGCTATATTACTGGCATACTTGAGACAGTGATTCACCAGGTGCAATTTAGTCAAGTACCAACAAACACTACTATATATATATGTGTACAATCTAACATAAACAAAGTAACTTTAAGAGCTTGTACAGCAAAAGCCTTGGCAGACAGGCCTACTAGACCATTTAATCCCAGACTTGTGGAAAGATATCTGCCAAAAAGTAAGTAAACATTTTTTAAGTTTTCACTCTGAAAAAACTGCTCCTTTAGGTATTAGGACTGCAAGATCAAAAATACAAAAAACTAAACTGCAATCTTGGTATTTCTAGAACATCAAGAATTAAGAATTTCTCTGACAATAATATATATTAAGCTGTTTCACTTACATTCTCCTTGGCCTGTCTGTGACCCTCACCAATCGCTCTTAAGCTTGATAAATACAGTTTTTCTAAGGCTTTCATCTTCTGATCCTGCGCTTTCTGCCACTCGGCTCTCAGTGTCTCCTCTAACCGATGTAGTTGTTCTTCTCGCCTCTGCTTTACTTTCTGTCTTATTTGCAAGGCAATATACTTCTGTTGCTCTCTAACCTGTAGAAATAACATTTATTAAGTTGCTGACAAGACATAAAGTGGAGTATTTTTTGCAGCAAGTCCTTCTACCCTTCTTTCAGCTTTCCATCTCATCTACTATTTATTCCACTAATCTGTCCAGAAAATATATTAAAGTTGCCATCACCTTTTTCCAAAAGTAATATATTAAATAATAAATTTAATCTTAGTTAAATGTTTCAGTTCAAGCCCAAAAAAATGATAAACAATATGTAAAAACTGCTTGGAATATCCTTCCCTCCAAAACACAGTAACTTATTAAAGAATCCTATCACAATGCAAAATGGTTTAAAGAAAATCAGCAACTATACTGCTAAATTAAAGTCTGTTTACTAAGTTTTTGTATTCCACTTTGTTAGCAAAATTCTCTTTGCTAAAGAGAAAAACATAGCAAGAAAAAAGCCCGAGGGATGAAAGACAATACATAGTAAATGTCTTTAAGTTACATATTTTTTTAAGATGTGAAAGACTTGAACAGCTTGTGTAGTATAAAGCAGAGGAAGGCTAAGAAAACAGTAAGAGAAATGGAGAAATAGCTCTGTGGTCTAACAGCAGAACAGAAATGGAAGAAAGACATGATCAACAGATATGTTCTGAAGAGTATTAAGTAACTCTGCTCAGACATTCTAAAATGAGCAGTACTTAAAGCATTTAGAGCTATGAGACATCAAGCAATTCAGCTTGTCTACTGGAAAGCTCTGAAATTCTGTACTAGCGGTAGTTGTCTTATTTCTTCTGCATCATCACTGTGAAAACAGCTGAAACACTCTAAGAGTTATACATCCTTACACAAGTGACACATCAGCAGAAGAGACACAGTCAAATAAAAATGGTAGTTACCGGGAAGCTGATGGAAAAGAAGAGATTCTGGAAAAGATGACAAAGTGAATAGAACAGAGATGGTATCACAAGCAAAATATGCACTTAGTAGTACATAAACACATGAAAAGGAAAATAATTTGCAAACTAAATAGAAACCCAATATACAATATTATGACCATGAAATTTAGTTTACATTAAATATTTCTGTTAATTTCCCTAAATGATTTGTTACATCATTAAATGCACAACGTGCAGAAATACATGCATACTTGCTGTAGCCTCAGTTTTCTTCTTCTTTCATATTCTTCTTTCAGAAGCATGGTTTCTTCATTAGGACTAAGCCTCAATTTCCCAACTTTTGCAAGTTTCCTCTTCATCTTTGGAAACATGGAATAATCAACTTCTATGAGAACATGAAAAACAGAAAACGTGCATGAATTATATAGGTAAAACCAGGCATTAACATAGTCTTACAAATCTATCATGGTATCCAGGAGTGTCAGCTAAAACTTTTCACATCTGTTCCAACTGTACTCAACAACATTGGCACTGTCTTTGCAACAGTCACAAAATGTACTGCTTTTGAACTATTACGCTATGTAAGAAACTCTGCGACGGTATTGCATTCACATCCTACGCTGTAGACCAGACAGGCACATCTGCAAAGTTAACATCAAACACTATTCCACTCCTGAGAAGATAAAAAACCACCCCTACTGATAACCACACCACGCAGTAAACCAGGCTGGTCATGTAGGTGATTTGTACTGAAATATTCTCATAAGTTATAAGATATTGTGTTTGTCAACATTTTTGATTCCTGTCCAAGTTTTTCTGCTTTGAAGACTGTGAAACTCCGACATCAGTCTGCATGCCAAGCACTTCTCTAGAATGCTAAAACTGCTCACTGACAATTTTTCATTCAAGTTTTCTTAAGCAGCCATTTCAAATGATGTTCCCCTGGAGATTTTACTGTAGAATGAGGATCTGCTGGTTCTACAGACTGCTTCCCATTTCCCTTGCAATTATAATTTTCATCTGCACAGCAAAAAAAAAAACAACAAAACTTTTTCAGCCTGATATGCAGCCTAGTCCAAAACTGCTCCCTTCATCGTTATTTGATCTTTAAATGTTTACATTCCTGAAAATACTCTCCCAAAACAAACCCACAAAGACTTTCAAAAGCCACTGTTTAGATTTAAAAATCAAAAGCTTATTGCTTGAGAAAAACCCACATAGCATTAACAATTTAAATGGAAAGATTTTTTTTCAGAATCATAAAAAACCCAAACCCAAAACTCTAAAGAAATCAGGTGAGGTGTAAAAACAAAATAATTATCCACAACATACTTCTGGTACAGAGTTATTAAGCTAATGCATCCTAAGTTCATTACAGAATGAATACAAAGGGACAGAATATCATGGTTCCTGCTAGGCCTCCCTTATTCAGTCGATTAGGTACAAAACTTAAGTTTATCAATAAATATCGTTAAAGAACAAATTACTACATTCCCTCCTGCCCCCCCCCCAAAAAAAAAAAAAAAAGGAAAAAATCAGAGATCGAACAATACGAAGTCTAGATCTAATACTTTAAAGGAAAAGACCAAAAGCAGAGAACGCAACCGCCACGGTAAAGCTGTCAATATTTGCAGAAGTTCATCGGCAGTACAAAGCGATCAGTAAATGCCTGACAGTTAAATCTGAGCCACCCTTCCCCGGGAACACCGCACCAGAGGCCTCCGTAAGCAACCTTAACGGCTCTTACCGTGCTGCCCAGGCAAACGACCAAACCGCACCTCACCGGAGCCAGAGGGAGAAGTAGCAGAGCTAAAAGGGAGCGACGAGCGCAACGCGCCGGCCGCGGGCTGAAACCTGAGGCGGCCGCCTCGGGGGCTGAGCACACGCGGGAGGGCACGCACAGGCGGGCCCCAGGGGGGAGCCCCACGGCCAGCGGGCTCTGCCCAGGAGGCCCCGGGCCCGCTCGGGCCGCTCGCAACCAGTCACCGGAAGCCGCTATGGGGAGAGCGCGGAGAGACGAGAAAGGAAACCGCCTCCCGGGCAGCCCCAGGACGGCGGGAAGAGAAAAGAAGGGAAGAGAGCGGGCCCCGGCGGAGCTGCCCACACC